GGTCTGGAATGTCGTCCCGATCTGGTCCTGCGTATTTCGGGTTCCTGAATTGATGCATGTTCAGATTCTTGGTTTTCTCCCGGAGGAGAGGTAATTGTCTTGGGATCTTCAGTAGTGTTGAAGTCGTCGGTCAGTTCTCCAATGGTATGTTTGTCGTCCCATTGTGTGATGAATTGGGGTACAACCGGCAGCGGAAGCTCCTGTTGATTCTGATTCTTAGCAAAGAGATCAGTAGATGGAAGGTCAATGACTTCCTTTGTCTTGTCTCTGTGTAACTGAGCTTTCTTGCGTTGCCAAGATGAGGTAAAATGAACATCTCTCTTACAAGTGTCAAAAGCATCGTCGTAGATGCAATGGAACTGAGGAGACACGTTGCCTGTTCTCGTGTTTAGCACTAACGGGACACTGGATGCATGATTGGGAGAGTGGCAAAGGAATATGCCTACTTGACTCCGATCCGCCCATTTGTTGTGCGAATGTTGGGCTTGTAAGCTGTCTTCAAGCACGTACACCGGAGATCCGAAAGGGTGAAAATGATCAAGATTTGGTTCCACTTCAACTTGGGCCATCTTCGATATGGGAGATTCTTTGTATTTGGCATGTTGCTTGATGCGTCTTCTTACTTTGATTTCAGGCGTGTATTTGGTTGGAAGCGAATTCTTCAGATTAGTGTAGTTCTTGAGAGCGGCTGGCCACAGAGCTGCATGAATGGCATCCGGCCATCGATGAGCAGCATGAATCAATGCAGTTCTCGCCCCTTCTGTCACTTCTTTAATCTTTCTCTCCGCTTTCCCATTCTGATGGTGCGCATTGACACCACAGAACGTCAAACCTTGACCGGCCTTAATAATTGAATTGCGAAAGGCCTTGGTGTCAAATAATCCGTTATCAGCATGGTAATGTCGGATGGACACTCCATGAGTAGCACACTCTTGTTCAAACGCAAGTTTTGCAAGAACGGTTTCCTCTGCATTCATTGCCGTCATCAAGTGTACATATGTGAAGTCGGTGAAGTGGTCCACAAATACAGTGGCTCCAACGTATCGGGCAAGCGTTGGGGTGCCTCGATGAGTTGGAACAAAAGCTGGGGTTGGGCTGATCAACTGATCGACGCTGACGACTTGTCCTGAATGAGTGGCAGGCTTGATTTTGCGCTGCTTCTTACTGTTTCTCCAAGGCTTTCGATGTGCTTTTCCGTATGCACAACCAGGACACTTAGGTGGATCAACACTTGTCAGCTCCCTGGGAATCATTCCAGCTCGAGCCATCATCTGTAGCTTTGGATAAGGGAGATGTCCGTATCGTTCATGGAGGATGAACAGTCGGAGCTGGTTTTGTTGAGTCATGGCAATATCTGGATCAAAAGTTTTTGCTCCTTTGGCAAGGTTGGGGTCGTCAAAGGTGACTTGTCGAGGCTGTATGTCTGGCTGCTTTGTTGAGGCTCCCTCAATTGCCGATGAGTTTCCTTCAGTGGAGGCTCCCTCGATTGCCGATGAGTCTCCCTCAGTTACCAAACTTGGACTTGGTGGAGCTCCCTCAGATGCTGTCATTGGAGCTCCCTCAGAATCTGAATCGATAGAAACAATTGTGGCTTTGGACTTGAAGTGAGTCGTCCCTGAGTACGCATGCCAGTTGTGATCGCATCCACACTTGGTAGCAGGATTGCATTCATCAGTGCTGGTACTCATGCAAAAGTTCTTGTAACCAGGCTCTGATCGAAATACAAACAAGTCTCTGTCGTCAATCTTCACATTGATTTCATGCTGCTCCTTTTGGCTTGGTGCTGTGAATGCAATCTTGTACTCGCTGTCGTTATGGCGGGGCCATACCAGTTGAGGTGGCATGATGTTGAATGGAGAAGTAGGTACAACCACGGCATCTACTTCAATTCGATCAGTGGTGCTGGGTATTGGCAGTGACAATTTTCCAATTCCAGTAATGTTTGTTGGAGATCCATTGATTCCTTTGATTCCTCCTTTGAACGGCCAAAAATTGGTAAGCATGGTAGAGTGTCTCACAATGAATCGGTTGGCCCCAGAGTCAAAAAGCCATTCCAAGCTGTTGGCGTCAGCAATGAAGCAGAAAGGTCGTTGGTTGTTTGAAAATATTCAAACGACCACGGCCAACGATCAACATCTGTAATCGACTCAAAAGCTCACCTTACTTGGATTAAAGATCGATTCGAGCGATTCAATGATATGACTCTCGAAGGTGATAAATCTCTCAGGCAGGTCTTCACAAGCAACACAACCATTGAGAGAAGCCGAATTCCGGAAAAGTCTTGAGATGCTGAAAGGAAAAAGCGATTGGAATTCTCAATATAAATATTCCATTATGTCCCTTTGGCAGTTTGCTATTATTGCCCGAACCAACGACATCGTGCGCTTTGAGGTCCAACTCACCCACGAGGCAATCCCAAAATCCCTCTTACACTTTTAAATTAAAGGTATTCTGGTCCAAAAATATTAATGAGGAACGCCAGTGCCCAGATCAGATCCTCTTGGGGTCCATAGATGATGACATCTGCATCCTGATTAACTTATCAATCTATTTGGAGTCGTACCTGGAACAGTTCCACAAGCGGTTTTATTGTTCGCAGAGGATCTACAATTGGCGAATGATGCAGCAACAGAACGTCTGAAAGCTAGATATTGGAGTGCTTTGAGGAGCACCTGGAACACAGCTGAATTCAAATCAGTCATTGATGAGTCAGACTATGGTCTCAAGATCGGAACTCACAGCCAGCGGAAGCTCCCGGCAACCTATGCATCAAACAAAGGTTGTTCTAAACCAGAGATTGAGATCAGGGGGCGCTGGCAAGGTGAGGCAGGAAAAGGCCCCAAAGTGGTGGATCGATACATTGATAGGAAGCATGAGTACATTGATGCGGCTGCACTTTGCATTGGAGGCCCAGTGAAGTACAAACTCAAAGAAGGTGTGGAACTACCAGTTGAATGGCTCTACGAGAATGTTATTCCTAACATCAGGGCCAAGTTTCCGCGGGATAATCGTCTTTGTTGTGTATTGGCCTTGACGCTGCTGTATGCTTGCATGCACGATGACATCCTGGTGCCGCCTGGTGTTAAGAGTCGTGTTCGAACTGCCTATGGCGAACTGAATCAGGATATACAACAACCAGTCGAGAAAGTGCCCTTATTTGTGCATAGGAGGGATGACCAGTTGATGATTGATGAAGCCATTATTATAGACGGTGATGGGAGCACTGGTGCTGGTGGAGCTGTGGTGGCAGGGAACGCGACTTATGACTTGTTCCAAAGCATCCAGATAAATATCCAGCAACTACAACAGCAATTGAACAATGTTGCTGCTCGATCTGATACAAATTTTTCAGATTTGAGAGCCTACATCCGGCATCGCGATCGAATTCTAAACAACAATATTCGTGCTTTTGGCGGAACAATTGAAGGTGGCTTGCAAATCCAACAAGCAAATGCTGGTCGCAGACTACTGCCGCTTGCAGCAAGAGGAGCAAATGTGGATGTGGGTCCCGTCGAAGCTGCGAACATGGCTATTCTATCGGGTAATCCCAGGTCATTATACGGACTCTGGCGGGAGTATCAGCATGGGATTGCTGGTCGGAAGCCTGCACGTTATTTCACGGCAACAGAACGAAACTGTTCTCGTCAAATGAAGCAAAAGTTCTATCGTAGGAAGCAAGTCTGGGATACAATTTCACGACTGGTTGCAAATGGGCACACTGTTCAATCCGCGATTGAACGAATTAAGCAGGTGTATCGCCAGAATGTCTCAGTCACCAGGATAATCGATGGAATCATACGAGGCAAACGGCAATATGGTGGACCTCATCCAAATCTAGTGTAACAATTGCATTAGTTTTATGAATATGGTTCATACTGTATGCTGTAATTGCTGCTTGATTGCTTGCTTTTATGTAGCGATATTGTAGACGGAAAGTGTTGTCTTGATCGATTTTCCTCTTTGACGTGTTTCCAGTTTGTTCGCTTTGGTTGAGCATTTTGATTGGCTGGAAATGTGCAGCTGGCTAGAAAGGTGCGACATGCGACATGCGTACATAGTGTAGCATAAATGCGTAGATCGACGGTATTACCACAGTGCCGGAACGCAGTGCATACCGGTACACCAGCACAAAATTCAGCTGTCAGTCTCGTTTGCAAATAACCCCCGAGCTTAACCCCTCCTCTAGCTCAATGAGTTTTCAAGTAGCTAGCTCAACGAGTTTTCAAGTAAAATTTCGGGCCTCGCTCATCATTGTCATTTCTTTACTACTGAACAAGCTTATAGTATCAAATGCATTCGTATGCATTCGTCCAGTGACAGCATGTGGTGGCAACAGATTCTATAAAAGAGACAAACAAGACGCTTCTTTAGTAGTTCGTAGCATGGCCCAAATAAGCGAGCAAGAGGCTAAAAAAGGGATCGACAAAGTAGTTGCTGCTCTGCGGAAAGATAGCTTGGCGCTTGAGGAACTTGGGCGACTTGAGAAAGTGACAAATATTTTAGGATTTGGCGCACCAACCCCTGGGTCTGTATCAGTGCGTTTCAATGCTTCTTTCAAAAAATCGGGTTTTGGATTGAGCTCAATCCCCCTTCCGTTCGGTCTAGGGCAATCCAACAAGAGTGAAGGAAGAGGCCAGATGGTTGGCCAAGTTAAGGCATCTATTGACTCAAAGACTGGCAAAATTCAGAGCTGCTCTGTGTTTCGAGATCTTGGTTACGGCAGAGCCTTCAATCTACGAGTCCAAATGAAGTGATGACTAGGCAAATGCTAAGAAAACATGCTGGTTCATGAGAATAGAAAATTGTGACCGTAGCGATGAGGGTTGCGTCGTCCATCTATGAATCAAACTTCTACCATTGATTTATCTAGCACTAGAAGCTCACATTATCGCGTGATAACAAGGGTATTCGTACATAACGTAGACACCAACTGAAAAATGCACTATATTTGTCAACAAATGGTTTGAGGAGAAGACGCTTTTCTGCCGTTTCCGTCAATTCGTTCCTGGGACCAATTTATGAATGACGATAATACAACATCCACAAATAGCAGGGCGATGAGCATTTCCACAAGAAGCAGAAGGAAATCGCAGTTTGCCACCACAATCTGGCTGCTGATTTCCAACCATCTGTGTGACTCTCCAACTGACGATGCAGTAGTGTTGAGCCATCGCAACATGTCACCTATTGATTTCGAATATGACGTGGACATCGACGACTCGTCTAGGCGGAAATCGCCCGTATGTAGTTTCCAATACCCGCTTGTGTGTCGAAGAAAGTTTCTGAGCTTCTGTCCCAATGTTTGCTGAAAATCTTCTTTTTTCCAACTACGCGGATCTTCAGAGTTCTGTTCTTCTGGACTAGTGTTCCTCGTTTCCTCTAGGAATTCTCGCTTCAGCAGACGTAGATTTCTCGTCATAGCTTCAAGTTCCTCTTTTTGTGCATTGGATGTAGACAGCACTTCTCCGAGTTTGTTCTCAAGTCTAGTCTTCTCCTCTTGCAACGAAGTTAATGCATCTTTTGCGACAGCCAGTTCCTGCTCAATTGCATCTTTTTCTATTTCTAAAGCGTTTACCTCTATCTTCTCCCGACCGAAGTCATCACGAAGTAAAGTGTCTCTCATTTCGGTATACATTGCAGGGGATTGTATGGAGGCACGGTTATCTACAACAGCTGGTGTTTCTCCGAGGCCTTCTTCCTTGGCATCTTCAACCTGGATGGATAGTCCATGTCTCGAGCCTCGGTTTCGAGGCATAACGAGACTTGCGAAGGCAAAAGCCATAAAAAGCCATGCTGCCCGTCGGCGTGAGCCTTGTTCGGTGACCTTCATCTTTTACATCAACAGTTGTGGTATAATGTTGGCAGCATTTCAGTCTCGATTTTCCTTCAGCGAGCGAAAAAAATTGATCTGCGATTTTTTAAAACAGCTTGCCAACTCGCGACGATATTTACGATTTTGTGACAGGTCGCCAATATCAGCGTAACAAGTATTTTTAATTTTAAAATAGCGCGAAGACAGGATAGATCGCGAAATGCACTGCTTCCTCGACACTGTCGGTGGAATTCAAACAAGCCCACTATTCTAGGTTGTCGGATTCAAACAAGCCTACTATTCTAGGTTGTTAAAAGCCAAAATCTGAAGAGGGACTTGCACTTCCCGCAAGCTCCTTTTCAAAGTTTTGCTCATACTGTTTCATGATATCTCGTTGGGCGTCAAGATCAACAGTTTGCTCTACTGAACCCAACTCCGCGCGAACCGCTTCTCTGGCTTTGTTCCGCTTTTCCTCGGCCTCTTTTTCTTCTTCTACTCGCTGACGAGCCTCTGCTTCTTCCTCTTCCTCCCTTCTCCGCTTGATTTCCTCTCCTCTCTCTACTGCCTCTGCAAGTCGCTCTTTCTTCGCCTGCTCTGCTTCAGCGATCATTTTCTCTTCTCTCTTCTTTTTGTCTTCCTCTCGGGCCTTAGAGGCCACCGCTTCCTTTTTGGCAGCTCCCCAGTCATCGTCATCGTCAATACCTTCCTTCGTGGATTCATTTTCTGGTTTTGCAATGTTCCAACTAGTTGCTGCACCGTTCGTCATCTCATCATTGCCATCCTCTTCATCAGAGTCGTCTTCGCCAGCACCGAAACCATCTCCAAGGTTAAAGCTTTCCTCGGCCACAATTTTGGAAGGAGCTGGAGCTTCGGGAGCTTGGGTACTTGCCGGAGCGCTGATCTCCCCTTCGGATTCTGATTCACTGTCGTCCTTCGCACCAAAAGCAAACAATGAATTGGGGTCTGCTTTCGGTTTGGCAAGAGTTGGCGTTTCAGCTTTCGCGGCCTTCTTGTTAGGTGTCTGTCTTTTTGCTTGGCCTGTAATTTTCTTCTTTGGAGCTCTTGCTTTTGATCCCTTCGGTTTCTTGATGAACTATTAATTAGATGCAATGCGTGAGTATAGAGAAGCGACAAAACAATGAGATATTGAATGCGATTGTCGACATACCTTTGAAACGTGGCGAAGTAGCTTTCGTTGTGTTGCGGTATCCAGTTGGTCTATCTCCAAATCAATTTCATCTTCATCACCAGAAAGTTTGGCAGCTTCTCGGATGATTTGAATCACACCATTGAGATTGTCTGTCGGCAGATCGTTTATTGTCTCTGTAAGAAGCTCTTGTTCTGCTAACGTGAGTGGCCGGAGGTCTTCTTCAGGCGGCTTTTCGATCTTCGGTTCCTGCTTCTTCTTGGTGGTTTTCTTCGGAGCAGGAGGCATTTCGAAATCCACCACTGGGGCTGAAGGGATCTCGTATGTATTCGCAACAATCTCAGGCTCGTCTGACATCGAATTCGCAAGTACAGTGTAAGTTTGAACAACTTGCTTTTGCAAATCCCGAATCATCTGAAGCATGATATTGAACTCATTTCTTGTGACATTGACATTAGCTCCACTTGGAGCAGCTGCAACGATTGCAGAGAGTGCGTTCGAGTTTGCAGTAGCCATTTCTTGTGCTTCGTCGAGACGTCTACGTTTTGGGCTCTTATTCTCTTCTGCTCCTCTTCTTCTTTTCTTCTCCCCGCCCTTTTTGTCGCCCTTTTGATTTCGCCGCAGTGTTGTCAGTTGCCTTTCAACATCGCGGAATTTCTGATTGAAAAGGATGAGCAGATTCCTTGCTGCTTGATGGACGGAATGTGTTGGATCAATGTTAAACGTCATGGCATTTTCAAAAACAAGACGAGCCAGCCGTCCGAATTCTTCTGGCGAAGAAACTTCACCAGCATCAACCTTTCTTTGCAGCGTGCGTAGATCCATTGGTTCAGAAATCACTTGATAATACGTTGGGATGCCCAGAGCTACAGGATCTACAGGTTCACTGAAAAATGCACCACGCTCCACATCTTTCTCCCGTATGAAATGAAGAATGTGCCCGCACTTGTCGTTTATCCTGTTCAGCTGCGCCTTTGGGTCGTCGTCTTCAAGCCTTGAAGGAACCTTCACAAGACGTGAAGACTCTCGTCGCGCCACTCCAGCCCGTTGTGGAGCAGTCGGAAGTGATGATACAGTGCTTTTTCCGGAGGAAATAGGACCTGAGGGAACTTCCAATGGCTTTGAAGTCATCTTCGCAGGCGGTTGCGTTTGCGGCTGATAGATTCTGTATACTTCGATTTGACCCCCACTTCGTCCTGTAGTGATGAGCGTCCCGGTTAGTTTAAAAACCCCAATTGCATTGACTCCTTTGCCATAGACATTGAAAGATCCTGCCTTATTTTTCTTGAATTTCATTACAATTTGCTGATCAACGATAGTCTGATACCGCGAAACTCCCTTTTTCAATTGAAAAGAGCCCTTGTACATCGCAGAATCTAATGGGAATGGACGATCACTTCCAGCATCACTTGCATGGTGTGCTTCCAATCGGAACGTGAAACTACTCGTTTGCCCGTTTGTGAAATGCTCGCGAGTTACAGCCCATTTTCCTTGGCAACTGTGGGACCCATCATCATTCAATCTGAGGACACCTCGAGAGACCGCCGAATAAGATGGATTCTCGGGAGGCGTTAATGCATCCACTGGATCGTCCCCCTGTGGAACTACTACCTCGTCTAATTTGAGCTGCGGCTCTGGCGTGGCTGGTACCGATGGCTTTCGTGATTGTCCCGGAGTGTTCAATGGCGGAGGCGCTGATGTTACTGGTCTGTTTGGTCCTTTTAGCTTGATAGGCTTGAAGTGACGAAAGATCGTAATCACATTGTCATTTGTAAGGGTCCCCGTAATCGTATATTTTCCAAAGTAGTTGCTTCCTCGTCCATCAACGTTGTGGTAGCCGGCGCTGTTCTTTCGGAATTTCAAGGTAACATCTTTTTCTACGATCTTTGATTTTGATCCATCTTCTTGATTCAAGTCGAACCAGCCAGTGTATTTCCCCGACACAGGGAAGGTATTACTACGAACCGAGCTCTTGTGTTCGTATTCGAATCGATTGCACAATCCCTTCACGTTTTGAGGGTCTGCCAATACAAGGTCAAGGCCAGACGACCACATTCCGTGGATGCGATGAACAATCTCCCCAAGGCCTAAGTCTTGTGACTCTTCTTTGTAAAGTTTCCCCTGCAAACACACCACATTCTTATCATATGATTGAGATGGCGGAGGTAATGGGCTGTTCTCTCCGTTCCCGCCAGAATTACCTGCCACTCCACCCATTTTCCTCTTTTTTGACTTTTTCATCCCGTCGCTCTCTGTAGGTACCGCAGGTGCTGGCGCACTCGATGGTTCATATCTTTTTCTTAGAATAATTGTGTATTGATCATCGCCATGAGGACTTGGTTTGGCCGTCCCATTGATGTGAAAGATGCCAAATTGGTTGGTTCCTCTGCCGTCAACCTTAAATGAACCTTCATCATCTTCAAGCTTTCTGAACGTAATATTGACACCAGTCTCTGTAATGACCTTGCTTCTTTCCTTTTGTTTCCCTTTCGAGGTCGTGTGAAAGTAGGCGAGGCTGAATGAACCATGAAATTCACCGTCCTTTGGAAGCTCCTTTGGATCCTCTGTCTGATCTAGATTTCGAAGGAGCTCAAATCGTTGATGCGGAAAGGCACTAGAGTTTTCATAATTCCACATTCCACGAATTAAATGACGCCTCAATTCCACATTGTACGATAGCGTTCCCTTCAAAACAGGAGGAGGAGGTTGGGAAGTAGAGGCTGCAGCATCCGATGGTCCAGCAGCTTTTTGAACCCGTTTTTGTCCCCCGTTGGTGCCTTCTTGCGCATTTATCGGTTTTTCTTCCGCATCTACCATCTCTACATCTGCACTAGACGAGTCATCTCCATTTTCCTGCCCCGAAAGATGGTCACCGCTCGCTGTACCTCCGTTGTTTGATTCTTCAGCCGTGTCCATTTTATCAGCATCCCCTTCCTCCAATGATGTTGTTGTGTTGTCAGGTTCGTCTACGACTGCGTCAATGGCTTTTAGATTCTGTTTTGCGTCATCTTCTTTCGCTGTAGTGTGTCCTTCGTTGTTTAGATCGAGCATGTGGGTTTCAACTGACCGATCTATTCTGTTGCCATGAGAAAAGCATTTGCTGCTGCACCACATCGGTGGACAGTTTTCTCTGAGGTTCAGACATGTTCACAATGTCACACCTCTGTCTGCCTTCTTAAATAGGGATTTTGGACATTTGCTGCCAATCAACCGTAGCCATTGAATTGTCATTGCCGGATGGCGCACAGGATAAATACGTCTGGCCGCCACCACTGTTGAGATTTTGCTAATCTCCACGAGCTGCAGTGGAAGGAGTAAGAAACTGCACACGAACATACAGTAGCTACAACAGCACAATCAACTGTCAAACAGTCAAATGAATATCGCTAATCTTGTTAATCAAAACAATAACGCAATACGTGGAAAATTGCCTTTCCATGACATGGCAAAGAAGATGACTCTTGCTGCGTTGAGATGTTTTACCTCACTCTGTCTTCTTCATCCGTGTGCTTCAAAAACAGCTTCGGCTTCGAATGTAACCCCTACTTTGCATGGGTCAGATGCAGGTGCAGATACAGAACTGATTATTGTGTGCTGATCGCCTTCATTTATGCCTCCACCTCAGCAGCACTTTCAGTATTGTAGTTCAGCAACTTTTCGATTAGATCGACGTGCGTGAGCATCATGCGTCGGCAACAGTATCGTTTAAGTCCCAATTCATCGAGAGCGTCACTATGGTGGCGGACAGAAGAAGTGAGAATACGATTGTGATCTCGAGTCGATGTTCCAGAAGAAAAACATCTCACCCTTCCGAGAAATCTGCTTGCAACAAACTGAGATAGGTTTCCCATTTATTTCCGATAACTTTTCCACAGGTGAAGCATCTCACAGGGATAATCATGACCTCAGTATAATATTCTCTTTCACGCTGTCAAGGAGGAAAAATAAAACTGGTGATGTTGTAGGTACGGGTATGAGATACGAGTATGTATGGTATTGTAGATGGATGTCGAAGGTTGTGTTTTGTTGTCGTCTGCACCTAACCCGTCGAATTCGTCCTTGCGTGTGTCCCACTTTAATGCAAAATCATCATCATCAATCATCATAATCGGTATTTGATATTGTTTCTTGTCCCACAGAAACTTTCCAAACGTTTTACCAGCTGCACGATGGCTCAAGGAAACCACAAACTCGGCAAGTCCAAAAAATCTCCTGGGTCACAAAAGAAAAAAGGAGGAAAGGCCGTGAAGCACAAGCGAAAAGGAAGCACAAAAATCGAAAACAATAAAGCAGACATAGTAACATCGAAAGCTATCAACAGGAAGAATGAAAGACTTGTTGCAGCGAAAGCCATGAATAGTGGGACGAATTTCTTTCTTAAGGACATTGCTGAAAGAGGTTAGTATGAAGACAATAATAATGAATGCTTGTTTTTTCACCAGATTAGCTAATTCGTTGGATTCAATCGATTATTCTCGTTGTAGGCAAATCAGAAGGGCAACGACAAAATGCGGCGAGAGACAAGAAACAGAGCAAACCAACAAAACTTAGTGAACGTCTGAATGTTAGACTCCAGAAACTTAGATAGGTGATGCCTCAGCTTGCTTTTACGCGAAAATGTGTACAAAAGTTTTAATGATACAGAAGTGATGGGGGAATTAGACTTATTTCGAAAGTATAAATAATCTAGCCAACTGTGTGGTCATATTTTTTTAAGATTGCGATATATCCATCCCTAGATTCCTGTTGCGAACTCGGAGCCGCCGGGTCAGCAATCAACTTTAGCCCTGGGATGGATCGCAATTCAACTGCTGTTGGCAGACCCCTTTGAACCAGTACTGGATTTGATCTAACTTGGTTCAGAACTTGACTCGCTCCCTGTGCGTGCAGAACAACGATTATTCCTTCTGGATTCAGAAGAGACGCAGCTTTTGTCAATGCCTTTTCAGGATCGGGCAAATCATGTAAGCTGCTGCAAAATAAGATGGCATCAAAGGCAGTTGATGGTTGATATGCAAAGAAATCGCCTGCAGTCCAATTGGAGCTTGGATACAAAACCTCTGCGTTTCGAATCATTTCAGTTGACAAATCAATCCCGTACATCTGTGATGCGGCTATTCCAGACTTCTTCATGAAAGGGATTGTGACTCCATAGCCGCACCCGACATCGAGGATTTTTCCGTCATTGCCTATGGCTGTTGCGACGCTATCACAACCTTTCTGTACCTTCCGTTGTATGTCTGTAGGCATGTCCCCCCTTATTGATCGAGCCACCTTCGCATCAGCAGAGGCATCCCATGTAGCTGCTTGTAAAACGTTGTGCAAATCAGTAGTAGTTAGAGAATGGGTCTTCAAGAGTTTGTCAAGCTCCTCTTGTGCCCGTTTGACTTCATCCAGCTGCTCTTGTCGAATGTGGGAAGATGGTGATGCACTCATAATGTTGATTTGGTAGTTCCACTTTCGTAAGTACTGATAAAGATTGAGAGCCTCTTGGAGGTGTGGTGACAAGTTCTGCAAGCGTTTGTCGATAATACGTTGCGTTCCTCTAGCTATATCTTCAGGGGATGTACCACCATATTTCTTCTGAAGCTGCTTTACGACAGAAGCCTTGTTTGGTCGCTTTGGTTTTGCAGATATCTTCCCTCCAAATCCTTTGCTCGCTCCACCTTTTGCAGCTTCGAAGGGTTGGAACCGTGACCGTCCAGGACTTGGAAAAGGATAAATTGGTACATGGAATCCAAGGCTGGACTCTGGAGGAATTGAAAGAAACAAAAGAACAGGATAAACTGACTTCATCCTGTGATTGCTGATGATCCGTTTTCAGTTTGGCATGTGGCATCAACACTGCGATCCCCTCACGACAAACACGCGCGTGAGTACGCGCAGAAAGTTGACAATGAATCATCCAAGAAAGATACAGTCTGGTCTCGGTCTCACAAAAAGGATGACAGCGACTCTCGTTTGTCGGCTACATGTACTCGTGACCCTCCTCAGCTATGTTCACGGTCTGAGCGTAGTCATTGCAGGAGGGACAGGGCGGGTTGGAAAAGTCATCTTGCCGCTATTGTCAAACCATGACGTAAGTGTTCTTACACGGAATTCGTTCTTAGCCTCGGCTCCAAACCGGGTCACGGAAGACTTTGGATACCTCGGAAAGACGTTTTTGGAAAAGAATCCGCATGTAAAACTTCGTGACTGGGACGGTGGTGATCTTCTAGACATCGTAGGGCAAGATTGGGTGGGCTGGTCCGATGATGTTTTGAAGAAGGCTGACGTAATAGTTCATATGGTAGGAGGGTACACCGAGCAACGCACCAAGGCAGCAGAAAGGCTTGTCCAAGAGTCATATCGCTTGAAGTCAGAAGCTCTACATATCACTGTGAATCCAGTGGAGGCAGACATCCCTCTATTGACGCCTGGAATGGTCACGCTAAAGGCAAGTGAAACTTTTTTCATTCGCTCGACAGTCTGGAGACTACGAGATGCAACTAATCATTTTTTTCTCAATTTCTTGACCCAAGACGAAAAGGATTCAAGACTGTGAAAACATCGTCAAAGATAATTGTGCCAACACCGCCTGCCTGCGGCTTGAGGCATACAAGACGGATGAGCTGTGCGACGAAATACGCAAGACAATAGACGATTGGGGCCCGTAAAGGAGATAGGGACAACCGTTATCGAGTACTCGTTTCTCGTTTGAAAAGCAAATTTGAAACAATATTCATTCACTGACTACCTAGATGAGCTCTGCTGCCACTGAGATCAGATTCATGGTTTGAGATGAATTCCTAGTTCAGACGACGGCGATGCAATGGAATAGGACTCTCTTCCTCCATGGTCGCCTGAATCTTTCTCTTAATGGGAGTGTACGCGTGATTGTCTTCTTCCCCTGAGTCCTGTGTAAGTGCGACGGCACTTGCATATCCAGGTCTCTCCAAGTTCGAAATTTCGGCAGTCAAATGATCCTGGGAATTGGCGAACGGTGAGCTACTTTGTTGTTCATGAATTTCAGCACCATTTTCCAGGTTATGCCTCCATGCCTGAAACATGTGGAGAAGTAGGTCGGTTTTGGAGGGGTTTCGGCAGTATACTCGAATGCATTGCTTCATAAATTTTCGAGGTAACAGCGTTTCATAATCGTCCTCGTTCACCTCGTGCGCAGTAAGAATTTCGTCACTACTGCAAAGCGCTTGACGATTCACAAAGCGAACAGCTGTCAGAGGGTTTGCATCTTTCCGACCGTAGTGCCATGATCCGAATTGAACAATGACGTCGCTCTCTTCAAGAGTTACGGGATTACCATCTTCATCTTCATGATTTCCCACGATGGAGCAGATTTCTCGTACTATTTCTTCAGGCTGGTTCTTGGCTTTTTTTATCATCGCGGAATCTGTCGACTTTATATTCATCTCACCAGCAAACTCTATATGTTTTGAGTGAGAAAAAAGCTCCAGTCCACAATCAATGGAAAACATTCCGCGACTTACTGTATAAATCTCGCTTCAGAAAACGCGCTGCAAGATCTCTAGCAGGCTTGAGATCCGCACTTGTCGAATACTTGATGTTTTCAATAATGTTGTCGTTCAAAGCCAAAAAGGCATCTGGGTCAAGCACTGCGCTGCTAATTGAGTGGCGTTTACTGCCTGCTGGCAATACGTAGTAAGGATCTGCAAGCCTCAAAATGTCGACAATCATGGCACCAGCAGCGCTTGTTGTTTTGTGCTGATACACCGTCCCATGCATCTTGAACCGAAATCTAAAGAATTCCAACACCTCTTCGACGCATTTTTTGGGATAACAGATCATGAGCTGCTCTCCTTCGTCTGTGTCAGCTTTCGCCACCATGGCCTCATAAATAATTTGACAGTTGATTTTCCCTGCCAACGCAAGCGATCGACGTCCATCTCGAGCAAAATAATCGACTTTATCAACATCAATACCATTGTGCCGATTTGCAACAATATCGTACAACCATGCCTTCTTGGGATCGGTTCTTCCAATTAGCTCTTCCTTACCAAGCTTTTCAACGACATCGCGTAATGGTTTCCCGAATATGCACTCCTTGATGAAGATGAAATCACGGCTCGTGAGGACGTCATCATCATCAAAGTTATCTGTTCCATCACCTTTGAAAACGCGCATCGACAGCCGGTCAATGCCGTCTCCTATCTGCTTCAATGGCTCGTCAAGCTTGCCACTTGATACGTCTATTGCAAGACCGAGAGACTTTAGTGTAGCATCAATCATCAAGAGCGAGGAGTCTTCGTGTGTCCAATCTTGTGGCACGGTAGGGAAATTATTTTCATGCTTCTCCTTCCGAATCCTGTCCTTCTTCATTTCTGATGTACGCTCAGATCTGAAATGTTCGTAGACGTGGGAAAAGGGACCGTGCCCAATGTCATGAAGCAGTCCAGCAAGCGTTACACAAAGAACATCTTTTAGTGTTGTCCCCAAGTGTGGCTGCCTGTTTCTTATTCTAGCGCACATTTGCTGAGCCAAGTAAGCCACGCCTATACTGTGTTGGAAGCGATTGTGATCAGCAGAAGCAAAAACTAAGTCCGAGGCTCCCAACTGTTTGATATTTCGAAGACGCTGAAATTGCTCGGTGTCGATAATGGCCTTCATGACGGGGCAAATATCGACTGAATAATGAACTTCGTCATTTTTACGCGTAAAATCCTTTGGAGTGGAGGTGAGCTTTTTCAATTTGAATCGCTTTTCTTCTCTTGCATTTTTGTTTTCCCCCTTCTCCCCGCTAATTCCATGGTTGGTAGCTGTAGCTTCTTTGGGCTGTTGAGTAACTTTACTGAAGAGGCTTTTGGATCGACTGTTAGTTTCCCGTCGGTTGTAGCTTGTGCTCATTTCTGTGGTGTGGAGTAGTTTATTTACCCTGTAAAGATGTAGCAGGTACAAGTACCGGTAATCAGTTTGCAAGCAACCTCAAATGTTGTGGCATCTCTGCATTCGAATTTGTTGAAGCAGCGCCGGCGAGCGTACTGTGCTACATTCGTTATTTTATTTTTCTTGTTTAACGGACAATGACTTCTTCGACTAAAAATGAATGATACAGTGACCGAGATACAGTACGGATGGTACTGGGGAACCAATTCCTAGTCTAATGACTTGAATACAAGCGAAGCGTTGGTTCCTCCGAATCCAAAGCTATTGTTGATGGCAATCGACATAGACGGCTTTTCTTTCCGAGCTATAGGATAATCGGACCTTGAATCAAAATCGAAGTTGACCAAATTTCGTGTAGGAGGAACAACCTTCGTGACTAGGCTTTGAATTGTAAATGCGGCTTCAACCGCACCAGCCGCGCCAAGCAAGTGGCCCGTAGCACCTTTAGTGGAACTTATAGACAGAGATTCGCTCTTACAAACCTGATCGATGACTCTTGCTTCGATCTCGTCACCCTTGGGTGTGGACGTGGCGTGAGCATTCACGTAGTCGACATCCATGCCATCGAGTCCTGCTTCATGTAATGCCATGGCAATTGCTTGGCACGCACCACGTCCCTCTGTATCTGGCGCCGTAATATGAAATGCATCGCCTGAACAACCGTAGCCTGCAAGCTCTGCAAGTATTGTCGCGCCACGTTCCCTAGCATGCTCCATCTCTTCCAGCACCAGTACAGCTGCTCCCTCACCCACAACGAATCCATTTCGCGACGCATCAAAAGGACGCGAAGATTCTCCAGGTGAAAACGATGTAGACAACGCACGAAGCCGGCAGAATCCACCCATTGAGAGGGGGTCAATACAAGCCTCAGCTCCACCAGCCAACATCATATCTGCAGCACCATATTTTATAAATCTCATCGCATCGCCAATTGCATGCGATCCCGCTGCACAGGCTGTCGAGGGAGATAGATTCGGCCCCCTAAGGCCCAGCTCCAGAGATAGTCGTCCAGATGCAGAATTCGTCAACACCTTTGGAATAAAATGTGGCGATAGTCTTCGTAACGAATTGTTGTCTTCCACAGCGTGTAAAGCCTCTGAAATTTCTCGAACTCCTGACATGCCGCTTCCTACACAGACCCCGACGCGGTTTCGTTTCCGCAGAACGATATCATCATTGTCGCCATCATTCAACCACTGAGGTAACCCAGCTTGGGCTGCTGCCTCATTCCCAGCCATCAAAGCCATGCGCACAAATCGAGCAGTACGACTGTCAGTTTCAATCCCCTTTACAGGGGCGGCTACTTGGCACGGCAAGAGCTTCGCGAGCGCTAGTTCACGCGTCAAGGTCTTTTCTGATAGCTGTTGATGTGTCAACGCCTCTTCAAGCGTGGTCATTCCATGCTTATTTTCAAGTAAAGCTGTCCACGCATCGCCCAGCGTGTTGCCCAGAGGACACACAACTCCGATTCCTGTCACTACGACTTTGCGAAGAGACTGGATATGAACTGACATTGAAATGAATTTTGAAAACTTGTGATACGCAAATGTATTGATGGAAGTGGATTTCCGATTAGTCCGATTACAAGATAAAATAGTGACACAATGTAATTCTCAGCTAGCGCCCCTTCATTGATGTAGCCCGACGGTTCGCTGCCTTCGAAACTTTCAGCTTAAGCTGTTTTCTTTTGGAAGGTTCAGATGATTTACCGCCCTTTTTCTTTGGAGCGTCATCAGATGTGTTCTCAATCATTGTGCCAGAGAGTTTCATCGCTTTTGACGCTGCTTCATCTGTATCGAAAGAGACATAAGCCTGCCCGTTGCATCGCCCAGTATCCCCGAACTTAATTAGCTTGCAGTTGACAACTTTCCCACATGCTTTGAACAAACTGGTGACATCAGCCGGCTTGACATCGAATGGTAATCCAGAGACAAATATCTTTCTGGAGTCTGGCTCATTTATACCTCGAAGTTTCTTCTTCTTCTGATTTCTGCCTCTCACTGTTACCTTCATAGAGCAATCATAGATCCAATGAGCTGGCTTGAATTTATTGTTACAGGCTTGGCATGTATAGTCAGGAGGTACAGGTTTGGACCGCTTTGCCTTTTTCACAAAAGGTGCTTTGTCCTCCTCTACTTGATCGTTGCCGTCTTTCATTGATTCTTCCTCACTTGCTTGAGAGGCGTCGAAAGACTCTTCAATGGCCTCTATGATTACTTCACCAGTCTCCTCTTCCTCATCGTCGCCTTGTGTAACTCCTTTTTCGTCCTCCTTCTGATATGTCAAACCCGCAAACTCGGCTTCATCATCTTTACGCATTTTGGCCTCATTTTGGAGGCGCTCAAGCTCCTCATGTTCTGTGGGAACTGGGTGCAGTCCTCGCTTTACCCGTTTCAACATTCGCTTGATCTGGATCTTCGTGTATTGGATACCATCTCCATCGACCTTGGGTACTTTAGAAAGCAGATCCTGTTTCTCCTGTCGTTTTGCCCTTCGCGAGGCACGACGAAGGTCCTTTTCATCTTGTCCGCTCGAATCTTCCAATTTCCTCTTCTTTTCTTTTCTCTTCTTTCTCGTGGTTTGCTCTTCCACGAGTGGTTTATCATGGTTGGTAGTTTCTTGCACCATTTGTATTTTCGCGGTGGCATGTATTTTTATTCTTCCTTGCACTTTTTTCCAGGGCTTTGATCGATCGATGATTGAGGGTGGTATTTTGAAAGCTCATAACCAAATAAAGTGTCTCACGCGCGACTTGTGCACGACCACCACATTTTCTTGATTGACGAAGTCTCCAAAGAATATAGTACCGGTATTTCAACCATGGGTGAGAAGAGGAAGGTGGACGATGGCATCTCAAAGACCGATGGCAAGAAATTGACAAATCGTCAAAAGCGAAAGAAACTAAATGAGAAAAATAAATGGCCCCAGCACCCGAAGATTCAATCCATGGATCAACGAGCCAAAGCATACATTCGAGTTGCTGGTTTTGGGAACACTTCCAAATCGAAGGAAACCATTGACCCTAAGCTGGATCTCATGTCACCTGAAGTGAAATTTGGGTCTCTACTTGGTGGAACTGACCAGCGCAAAAGACATGCAGCTGTGAATAAGCTGAAGGAATATCTTAGGGCTAGGTGTGCCATTGACAACGAAAATGGTGGAATTTCAGAACTGGACCTTCTGAAGCTCTGGAAGGGGCTCTGGTACACCCTTTATATGGCTGATAAAGCTCCGGTACAAGACGAACTGTCGAAGCGGCTTGCTGAACTATTATGGTGTGTTGCTGGAACTGAAGAAGAGGACGAGTATGCTGGTCAAGCCTATTTGGATATGTGCGAACAATCAGAACTTGCCATGGCTGATGATTTTGATGAAGATGATGTCACAATGGAAGAGATTGTCAACATACTTTCAAACGAGGTCCGAGAAATTGAAAGCGATAGTGAAAATGAAAGCGAAGAGGAAGGAGATGGTGAGGATGATCCCGAGGAAGAAGATGGCGTATCAAACAAATCGAGTCTCTTTGCGAACCAAGACGACGGCGGTGGTGTTGAAGACGAAGAAGAATCTGTAGACGATATAAACATGCCACACTGTCGTGGAGCCCATCTCGCGTCAATCTTTATTCGGACTTTCTTGAGGACAATTCGAAGAGAGTGGGGGGGAATGGACAAGTATCGCGTCGACAAATTCTACACTCTGATGCGTTTATACTTGCATGAGGTATTTAAATATATGGCTACTCGCCATTGGAACCTAGGGATTATTAGGTTGTTTAATGATGCCATCTTCGAAGAGGTTCTCAGTCAAACTCCAAATGGATTGAGATATCATTTGATCGATATTACGCTAGACGAACTAGCCAGAGCAAACGCAAAAGCACCAATGCCATTAACTGAAGCTACATTCCTTGACACCCTGGAGCCATACTTTGCAATGTGCCAAACTGGATCCAATGATGATACACTGCAGGCTAGAGTATTGGAAAAGGTTGTGGAAAAGTTTCTTGATGAATACTCTGTGATCAGTGAAAACGCATTGGCTAACGACACGAACGAGGGGGACGACAGTAATCCAATATTCGACCAAGTGCACGTTGGAAGCGTAGCGCAGTTCATATTCGAGCTTGCTAGCGATCCTGAGACAAATGATAGGTATCGCAAGTCCCTCTATGACATGCACAAGAAGTACATGCGAAGACTGAAAAAAGTGGGATTTGATGTCGAATTGGATGAAACATACAAGGACGGAGGAGAAGGAGAGGAAGAAGAAATTAGCCGAGATGAGATTGACCTAGAAAGCTCACAGTCCCTAGCCACTGAGGAAACCCCAGAAGAAGACAAAGAAAAGACAATGGAAGACGATGGCGACAGGATCGAACGATCGATCAAGCTGAAGATGAAACATGAGAAAGACGATCTACAAAAGAAAGGCTCGAAGAAGAAGAAAAATAGAATTTCAAAGGCAGATGCTGAGAAGGATGGGAGTAAAGAAGAGACGGTGATGATATCTATCTCAGAGCAGAAACATGCCAAAGCTCGAGGAAAGAAACAAAAGAAGACTGTTGAAGATGCCGCCTTTAGCGTTACAACGGAAGAGCAGACAGAGAGCGATGGAAGACAAAAGCGGGTCAAATTCACACGAACAAACAGAAGCAAGTCCTACAAAGCTAGCATCAAAGCTCTGGTCACATCCACCCCTCCTAAAACATCCGTTGAAACCCCGGAGAAGAGCATCCTTAGAGTAAGGAGGGTGAAAGTAGAGGTGAAACGCTCGAAGAAAGCGAAAAATGGGAAGAAGACGAAGCAGCGTACAGTGAATTTCCCACGATAGTTTATCCAACGACCACTGTTATTGTATGACATAATCTAGCGTCAGCCATCACTAGTAGCTTTTACTCAGCGTTGGGGGGCTGATAGAATCCCCCAGCCACCGCTTGCGAAACACCAGCCATAATACTGTGCCAGGTCCGAGTACCATACCTAGTGTTGTATTGATTTCTACTCCCCCAGATCTGGTTTTTGGAAGTATTCGTGAATGGTGTTTCTGGGAATGATTGAACCATCTGACGTCATCCATCTCAATCCTCGATCTTGATCCGTACACTTACAACCATGTCACAAGTCAAGTATCAATACTCTCGTACTCTTGACTCACAATGTCTGATCAGATGACCAGGATTATATATGTGCTACTCTTTCTCCTCAATTGTCGTTTCACAATGAGCTTTTCGAAGTCTTCGGTATCTTCGGGATGCGCTGTAGTTGGATGTGGTGTTCTTGGAACGAGTGTGTGCCAACAGTTTGTCAAACTTCCAGAATTTGAATCTCAAGAAGGTGAGCAATTTTGAAACTGAATGAAATTTGTCTTGTATCAGACTTCTAAGATTCTCGGAAACAGTTGTAGGCATCACAAAAAGCAACACGCGTCACGAGGAAATCTTGGCGGAAGTTGGCAAGAACGATCGCTTCAGAGTCGCAACGATAGAAGATTGTGCCGGGGAAAAGTACAAGAATGTTGTTTTTTGCGCTCCGCCCTCGGGCTTTAACGACTATTCCGCTGCAGTCGATCATTGTATGAAGACGGTCTGGGCAGGTCCTAACTCGGGTGGCGTCTTCATTTTCACGTCCAGTGGAGGGGTGTGAGTCTCTTGAAAGAATCTATCAAATTCTGTGCGTTTACCTAATTACTGCTTTTGCGTTGGCTTCGCAGCTATGGATTTGGGAATGATAAGCAAGTCGTCACAGAGAACTCGCCAGTTGCCGATCCTTCAAAGAATCCACGCGCTGCAAGACTAATCAACGCCGAGGAACGCGTTCTATATGGCGACGGAGCATGCTTCAGACTTGCTGGCTTATATTCATTGACAAGAGGTGCGCATAACTTCTGGCTGACAAGCGGAAAAGACGTCTCAGGTAGAGCAGATGGCATTATCAACCAGCTTCACTACGATGATGCGGCAAGGGCTGTTCTTGCCGGTCTTAGTGCAGGTCCATCAGCTGTAACTGGGAACGTTTTTCTCATTAGCGATGGTCATCCTCTGACAAGAGAGCAGATTTGTGAAAGCGCATTGAAAAACAAACACTTTTCTGGATACGAACTGCCCAAGTTTCTTGGAACCAATGAAGATCCAGTTGGCAAAATTTACGATGGTTCAGCAAGCAACAAAGCTCTGAAATGGGATCCTGTGTATCAGTCGTTCGGCGCCTTCATGGTATCAGGGGAGTCCTGAAACAACACTAGAACTATGACATTCATTGTCAGTCATAAAGCAAGCTGATAAAAGAAAGTTCGCCCTAGGCTACCGAGAGCTTCCAACCAGCAAAAAATAAATGACAATATCGCATTTTGTGTGTGTAAACGAGTAGGAGGAGCTGAAGTAGTACAACTGAAGTTTTGAGTGCCCTCTTGTTGTGTTCGCATTTGGTTTTTGTCGTCCGCCCCTCATGAAATTTCGCGAAAGTCCAGGAAATGAACGACGAGCATCGTGAAGATAATGAACATTTGCCCCTCGACAGTCTCATCGCAATTGGATTCGTAATTATCATCGCCATCCTACTTCCTTTTTTCTGCACAGTGCGAGTGAACAAAACCAAACTGGAATAAGAAGCCCAGTTGCTGTAATTATAAATGGAATCCTCTAAGGAGGAAGTCCCGCAATGGCATAACTTAGTGGCCGGAGCAGTCGCTGGTGCTGGTTCTCGTCTGGCAACAGCTCCCCTTGATCTTGTCCGCATCCGATGGCAGCTGGAAAAGACTGTGACGTATCCAAGACCCACGATATTTCAAGCATTATCCACCATTGTGCAAAACGAAGGCGGAGTCTCAGCTTTGTTCCGTGGCAGCGTGGCAGCAACTTATCTGTGGGTTGGGTATTCGATGGTCCAATTCACAGTATATGGACGAATACGCACATGGTTTGAGTCGCAAGATGACCAAACAAATCCCCATCCTACTCTTGTCTCTTTCTGTTCGGGGGGCAGCGCTGGGGTTGTTGCAACTCTCCTCACATACCCTTTCGATGTCTGTCGCACCATTTTTGCCGCTCGTGGTGTAGCACTGCAGCCCCTGGAAGGAAAGTCTAGGACGTTTGCTCCTCCTAAAACGCTGTACGAATTTGCTTTCTCCTTGTATCATAAACGTGGAATACGGGCATTCTACGCAGGCTATAGCCCAGCTATCGTACAGATCATGCCTTACATGGGCCTAAATTTTTGTATATACGAGAAGCTCACTCAAGGCGACAAGGGTGTTGCAAAGTCAGGACTGGCCGGGTCTCTGTCTGGTGCAATTTCGAAGGTTGCCGTCTATCCGATAGATACTGTAAAGAAGCGCCTGCAAGCTCAAGCTGTATTTGGTGCAACTGGAGACCACTATGAGGGTATGGTTGATTGCTTCACGAAGATGCTGAAAAAGGAAGGGCCAACTAGTTTCTACAGGGGACTTGTGCCCTCAGTTGCCAAGACAGCTATTGCCACAAGCCTAACGTTCTCGCTCTATCGCGGGACCAAGAATATATTAGAAGACTTTCATAAAACTAATTAAACATTGGAAGTTCGGCTCGTTCTTATTACTGCACTATTCCATTACTCGTTGATGATCTTGTAGTTCCAGCCATGTTTGTCCTCCTCTTCTCCGTTTTGGATCGCACGGACCTTTTGGTATAATCGCTTCGTAGTATCACCAATTTGCTTGTCACCAAACTCGTATCTCAATTCAGATCCTTCATTGTCCAGTCTGGTGATGCTGCCAATGGGAGTGACAACAACAGCAGTACCAACAGCCAAGACTTCGTCAAAAGACTTGAGTTCGTCAACAGGAATGTCTCTCGTTTCAACAGCTAGTCCCTCATCCTCTGCAATAGTCATAAGACTCTTGTTTGTAATCGAAGGCAAAACCGATGGTGACATTGGTGTCACATACTTCTTTTGCGAGTTGTCGATTCCTACAAAGTTACTCGTGCTAAATTCCTCGACAACAGTTTGTGTCTTAGAATCCAAATATAGACCAATAGGATAACCCTTCTTCTTGCTCAGCATGTTGGGCAAAAGGTCGGCAGCATAGTTGCCAGCAACCTTTACTGCCCCGACTCCCTGAGGGGCAGCACGATCGAAGTCCTCGATAATCAGCGCATCTACGGGAGATGACAATCCACCCTTGTAATAGTCACCAACGGGAATGACCATGATCAAGAAAGTATATTCGTCGGCAGGCTGCAAACCGATTCGTGGACCAGATCCAAACAACAGAGGGCGGATGTACAGGGCACCTCCAGAGCCATACGGTGGAACATATTCGATGTTGTCCTGAACAACCTTTTGGATTGCCTCTAGAAATTTCTCAGTAGGAAGCTCAGGCATCATGGTTCTGCGACAACTAGATTGCATTCTCTTGGCATTTTCATCTGGACGGAAAACATAAACTTCTCCATCTTCGTGACAGAAAGCCTTCAGTCCTTCGAAACATGATTGGCCATAGTGAAGTGCTGTAGCCCCAATGTGCAAATCGATGTAAGGATCCTATAATTTCAAAGTAGAAATGAGAAATATGCATCTAAGGGCGAGAGTTGAAAATTTGTCCAAGGAATGCTTCAAAGCCTCACCTTCACGAGTTCGGGTTCGCCCCACTCATCATTCTTAAAAGTGACGCGAACATGGCTATTGGTTTGCCTGAATTCGAACCCAAGTTCCTCCCATGGGGTACCTAGTTTTGCAGTACCAGGGATAGCCTTGGCGGAAGTAGAAGCCAGTCTGAGGTGGTAAATAGATTCTTCATTTCTTGCCGATCGCTTTCCCCAAGACGTAGGCGCTGTAGATTGGAAGGAAGAAGCCGACCGGATCGAGATTAAGGAGAGCCCAAGTGTTAATAGTCCCACGCCGATGATCATGATGAATTGTGAGAGTAAATCGGATGGAAGACAAGACCTCGATGATGGTCAAGGTTTGGTTTCGTCGTGAAACCACCAAGTTGACTTTGATGGGTCAGGTTTGAGATGGGTTATGAGCAACGGACGTGAAAGGACTTTCAACTTCCGACTGATATGGAACAGACAAGTCCAATGAATCATCTTCCAAGATTCTGTGGGTCAAAATCCAAATTGGCATTCACTTCTTGCCTGCCGAGGTGTCACCATAGCATTGTAGTGAACAATTCTCGCACTACAGGAGTCAGTCATCAGAAGTGACAGCTATCTGCAAAATGACCAAACTTATCCATCTCTTCGTTGTTCTCATAACCTGCGCACCCGTTGCTGCCTTTGGTATGGGCAAGGGAATGGCAATCAACACAGATGTCAGACGCTACCATCCACGAAATGTCAAGCCTGTCCACGAATACAGAACCAAACCTTTGGAGTTGTCAAGCCCGATTTCGATGATAGCAAACATTCCTCGTGGTGGATCCATTGTTGAAGCTATGAAATCCTTCAATAAGACCCCGTCTTCGCTCTTCAACTCGTCACTAATTACCGTTGCAATCGTTACGGCCGCATTCAAGATCCTACAACGAGCTTCTAGCAGCAGTAGTGCCGAGGAAGTCAACAAGAAGCCAAAAAGCGTCAAGGATTTGCAGATCAGATTCCTATCCGTCTTTTGGTTGTTGCGATGTGCGGATTGGCTCCAAGGGCCTTACTTTTATGAAGTCTATTCATCCAAGGTTTTCGATGGGGTACCCGCATCGATTGCATTGGTGAGCAAGCTGTTTCTAACTGGATTTGCGTCTACTGCTTTGTTTGGACCTCTGGTAGGGAGAGCATTGGATTCTTATGGACGAAAAAAGGGAACATTGGCATTCGCCGTTATTTATGCATTGGGAGCCGCATCCACAAGAAGTCCACTTCTGAAAGTACTCTTCATCGGAAGAATCATGAGCGGCATTGGTACTAGTCTTCTCTTCAGCGCCCCTGAATCCTGGCTGGTTGCCGAATCACAAAGAAGTGGTGACGACCCAACTGGATCTTGGCTGGGAGACACATTTGGTCTGGTATGTTTTTATCCCGTTTGTATGCAAAAGAAGTTGCTTTCTATAGTGCTCAAACTTTGGTGTTGCTTTAGGCTTATGCTGGTGATGCCCTTGTCGCCATCGTGGCAGGTCAATTTGCTGGAGTAGCAGCAAGTGCTCGAGGACCGACTGGCCCATTCGAGCTGTCTGCTGGTTTCCTTGCTCTCGGGGGTCTTCTATCTGCGTTGTTGTGGAAGGAAAATGTTGCTAAAGGATCGGATGGCGCCGATGTCGAAACCAACAAGCCATCTATCAAAGATGCCATCAACGTCATCAAGAAAGATCCGAAGATCATGTTGGTCGGTGGTGTGCAGAGTCTTTTTGAAGCTGCTATGTATATTTTCGTTCTCCAATGGCCACCAGCTATTAGCAGTGCCGTCGCGAAGGCATTTGGAGAAGGAGCCAACACGCCGTTTGGAACCGTTTTCTCTTGTTTCATGGCTTGCTGTTTGTTTGGTTCAACTCTCTTTGGTCAATTCGCCAAGATGTCTGTGCCAACCGAGAAGTTCACTGCAGGCATGCTCTCGGTAGCAGCCATTGCAATGTCAAGTGCTACCTTTGCAGCTTCTTCTTCTATGAATCTTCCCGCTCTCGTTGCAGCATTCTTTGTTTTTGAGGCGTGTGTTGGTATGTATTTCCCATCAATAGGCACATTGAGAAGCAAATACGTACCAGATTCACATCGATCCGTTATCATGAATCTTTTCGGAATCCCCCTGAATGTTCTCGTGGTGAGCGTTTTCTTATCGATATCGAAACTTGGTCTTAAAGGAGCTCTTGGAATCTCGTCGGGTGCTCTTGTGCTTGCTGCAATCTGTATGCTGAAACTGAATAGCATCGTTGGCGAGAAATCATAGGCTTCGAGTGATTATCATTGAATTACTGTGACGAAACACGAATATGAAACTAGATTAGGTCTTTTCTCATTTGATTTGCCGCATACTATGGTACCGTAGTCATGATGTCAACAACACATGAAGACAACACTACTTCCGACGATCCTTTCTACATTTTGAACAACGGTACTCGTGTCCCGGTACTAGCATTTGGATTATACAAGATCCCAGGAACCAACGAGGGGGAGGAAATCATCAGCAGTGCCATCAAATCCGGATATCGACATTTTGACACAGCGTCACTTTACCAGAACGAGCAGATACTAGGCAATGCCATACGCAAGAGTGGAATCGCTAGGGACAGATTCTTTGTTTCCAGCAAGGTTTGGAATGATGCACAAAAGGAAGGAAGGTCAGCTGTCCGCGACAGTGTTGAGAAAAGTTTGAAATTGCTAGGGTTTGTTTGGTTGGATCTTGTTTATATCCATTGGCCAGTTCCAGAGTGTTACATCGAAACCTACAAAGAGTTACAGGCGCTTCATTCAGAAGGGAAAATACGAGGCATAGCCTTGAGCAACTTCGGAATAGAAGAATATCAAAACTTGCTGCGGTCGAAGGAGATGACAATACTGCCAACTTGCAACCAAATCGAAGTATCACCATTCATGTACAGACCAGGAATCATAGATTATTTCGAGAAGCAAAACATCGTAGTGGCAGCGAGTAAGGCCCTCCATCGTGCTGTTGGAATGGATGAGGGCGCTGTCGCATCCATTTCCAGAAAGCACTTGGTGACCCCAGCTCAGATAATGGTTCGTTGGGCACTCCAAAAGAGGTTGATTGTAGTCGTTAAAACATCCCAGGTTCAACGAATGAAGGAGAATCGAAGTGTGCTGCACTTTGCTCTGAGCGACGAAGAAATGCAAGCATTGGAAACTTTGACATCTCCAGAGGACATTGCTGACCGAGCAGCGCTTGAGATCAAACGGCGGAATGGTGCCTGAGCAGAGCTTCCAAACGAGGAAAGTTGCGGTGCCATTTCCAAGAAATAGTAGTGCAGCACACAAACGAAAAGAGTCATTATGATGCTGCTTGTGATTAATATAAGAGATCAGATCAAGGTACAGCCATTTGTATCTGTTTCGTATCTTCATCAGAAGCCAGATGAAGATCCAAATTGAAGTCTAGGCGGTGGTGCATATGCCTTCCTCTGTTCTAGTCTTTTGGCATGACGCAAACGAAATGAAGCCATTGCAATCGCCAGGAGGTCTGATCCAAGTGAGTCTGTCTTTGGTTCCAACATTGTTGAAATTATTCGCCGCCTCTTTCGTGACCGCGGAGCGTCTGTACCTTTGTCTTCCTTTTGGTAGACACAGGCCAGCTGTCGGAACCGAGAAAACTTATCAGCACACTTGAGGCATTTATCAATAACTTGTAGGTATGTTTCCCTTCTATATCCATCGGTCGAAGTTCGGTGCCCTCCCTTTTCAAAAGTCTTAGAATCCCATTCCCCATACAGTACGGGTAGAGCCACCTTTAGCCAGTCCCTAAGAGCCAAGTGAGGTGGTATCTTCTTGTGATGCAGCATGTTGTATTCCATTTGAGCTATTCTGAATCGTAGTTCCAGTGGCAAGCGAACAAAGTCTCCTTCCGACTTCGCGGAGTTTTCATCGGGCAATTCAGATGCCGCATTTGCTTCTGCTTCCATAAATGTGTCAGCATTTACCGGATCCCAACAGTAGTAATTATTATCCTCACTATGGTCATCTATTTCACTCATTTTGTCGCCATTTCCATTGCTTCCATTGCTGTTGTTTTCACCTGATAAACCGAATTCCCAGGTGGGAACTCCCGTGCCCAAAAGAGGTCTACCTTTTCGTTTTCTTTCCTTCGATTGTTGGTGGAGCTGTTCCCATTGAATAGTAGCCAGCCCAGTGCACTGCTCCTGGGCATTTTCGTCCAGAAAGCCTTCCAGACATTCCTTGATGAGAGAGTAGTCTGGCATGTCGTAGTAGGACAATGACTTCAAATGATCAAAAGCGTTCCGGAGCAAGCTCACTTTCTTTTCGTCTTTGGACAGAGCCAGTGGTTCTGGCAGATCCGACAAGTCCAAAACTCCCTCTGGCGGATCAATACCACCTCTGTACTTGTTAAAGAGTGCAACATGATATTCATTACCCATGAGGAGTCGTTTCGTTTCATCTGGGCGGCCCTCTTCTTCTCCATGGATCCGTTCCTTGAGCTTCTGACACGCCTCACGATCGCGATTTGCAGCATGTTGCATCCATGGAAGTCCTCCACTGACCAAGTCACAAAAGACATAAAGCAAACTCCAAATGTCATCACGAGCGCAGTAGTCCTTGAGCTGGTGCACTCGAAGTGAGGCATACATACTGGTTCCTCTAAAGTCTGCAGTCGGTCGTTCTTTCCGATAGTATCCCTGGCCACTTTGGTTGGCCGGGCGGATCCAACCCTTCCCCTTCCACGGATTCTCGAGGTCACTAGCCGGAGAATCCTTTTGCACAACCACACTCTTGGAAAGTCCAAAATCCACCATACAAAACTGCTTAACACCCCTTTTCACACAATTACTGGGCTTGACATCACGATGAACCATACCAACTTCGTGCATTCGTTGTAGCAGTGGCAGAATAATGGATGCTGTCAAAAACACAGAGTCTGCAATGTTAAGCCTCCTCTTCTTCGTTGTCTTTTCGCGAATAAAGTGCATGTCTTGTCCCGGCAGATACTCCATAACAATGGCAGAAATGTCTTCATTTGCCTTGAGATGCCCCATGTAGACTGGCACAGTATTCTCTGGAAGGCACGAATCCAAAAAGTGCAAAATACTGGCTTCTCCGAGCAGCACTCCGGAATTCTTGAACTCTCCCACTTCGACTTTGGCAGCCACCATTCGTTGAGGCCTCCTCGTCTTGTTGCTAGCTATTTGAGGTTCAAAATAATGAAGGTTGATACATTTGTGAATGCTGCAAAATGTTCCCTTCCCCAGTCTTCCCAGACAAAAGAACGGCCCCAATATCGTACCTAGAGCTGGAAAGTTCCCAGTTGCTTTCACAATCTCTTGACGTCCATAGAAGGGAAGGTTGCTATTGCTACTAGCGTTATTGCCAGTCGACGATTTCTTTTCCTTTCTAGCAACATCTAAATCCGCGGCGGTTCCATAAGGCGTGTTGTTGTTGCTGGTGATTCCTCCACCTCCTTCGACATCTTCTGAGGGACTGATACCCATGGAAGAGACTGCCACTTGACTCATTAAGACTGTAGCGCTAGTGTACAATCACTCCCTTGTTCAGCGCAACAGACTAGCACGATCTTTGAAGCTCCTTTTAATCTCCTGTACAGCTTCAAAACCAAAGTTAGGTACTGTAGGTACCAGTACGACTACTCAACTCCAATGGATCTTCGATGAAATATTGGATCTGAACCAACTGCCAATTTTTCGCATGTAAATTACGTAGTGTACGAGTCCGTACTACTGTACATACTACTACGAGCCATCAACGTCTTGCATGCTGTCCAACCCATACCCGTCGAGCCATCAGACCCAAACAAGATGACAAAATTCAAAATCAAAGCAACATTTCCATACTTCCTCGTCCTCCATATCGAAGAATTAGCATCATCGTCGTACTGTACTGGTGTTATACTGTAGCGAGGGAAAGTCTCAGTGGTGCAGTCCTCAAAAGCACTGTATTATTATCTTGAAGAAATCATTCTGACTAGATAACGACAACATGCCCTGCTTGATTGTGACTGGGTATCCCTCGGCCGGCAAGACGACGATCTGTGGTTTGCTCAAGGAACGAGCGCTCTTGCGCCAGGAGATTGAGGAAGTTCAAATTGTCAACGAGGAATTTGCTTGTCCAGACTATTCCAAGAATGAATGCTATGCCAATTCGCTCCGTGAAAAGCAAACCCGGGCCGCAATGAAATCATCCTTTGATCGTGCTGTTGGGATTACCAAAACCCAGAACAAACCAAGCAAGAGTAACAGCAAAACTCTGATCATTTTGGATTCTCTCAACTACATTAAAGGGTTCAGATATGAGCTACACTGTATCTCAAAGGCAGCTGGAGAAAAGCATGCTATTCTGTGGGTGCTGAACAGTATGGAAACTGTTGAACAATGGAACCAATCGCGATCGAAGGAGAGGGCCTACCAACCTGCACTGTTGAAGGAACTCATTCAGCGATATGAACCTCCCGATGATCGAAATCGATGGGACAAGCCTCTTTATACAGTTGATGTCACTCCATCGTCAACTGCAACCAATGCCACAACAAAACCAGAATCATTTGAGACTGGAAGCAACGAACTAGAGACAAAACAAACAACGACTGCCAGTTCCAAAAGCGAAGCAGTCCAAAACAGTGTCTATAATATGCATGCGCTAGAAGAGAACTTTGCAGACACGACAACATCCGCGGCTGTAGATTCAGCAACAGCATCATTGTCGCAACCGGTGACCAAAGGAAAGAAACCAAAGAAGAGTGCTTTCTCACGAGCTCGAACGGCAGCATCCAAAGCTGCCCAGCAATCAAAACCGAAATCAAACAATCTAAACACTCCTCTCATTGCAACTGCGACAAAAGGTACCTCTTCCGCGTCAGAATCTGCTTTGGCAGGTCAACATCCACAACCACCATTACATCAACAGGAAGAAAGACAACAGCAGCCACCACCTAAACCCTTGGAAGAGCAATTGGATGATATCCTCGATAACTTCTTGCTCAGAGTACAATCTCTGAAAGAGGGGCACTCGACGCGAAATTACATTGCGGGGGACGCCAATGTATTGCAGGACTTGGATTCGATATCACAAAAGGTGATCTCAGCCATTAACAGTGCCCAAAATTTTTACACAGGTGGTGATACACTCCAATTTCAATTCCCTTCCAAGGATTCTACACTATCACAGTCCTTTTCTTTCTCCCTTAAAGGAGCTCGTCAACGAGTCTCGTTAGCCGAATTGAGACAACTTCGAATGCAGTATTTGCAATGGGCAGGTACACACCCTCCGGAAGATACTTCTGAAAATGGAATTGCCAATGCCTTTCGTCTTTATTTAGAGGAACAGCTGACTAAATAGTTCTACTGTAGCATTTCAAAAAAACAAGGCTCCAACTTGTCGAAACTTTCGCCCATTGACTCGAACTCAATCCCTCTAGCCACGACAAAGAATGGAATAAATTATTAAGTCTAGATTTCGCGATACCGAAGATATTCTGGAATGTGAGTACCTAGATCTGGTAGAGTAGCATCCATAATGTTCCTCCTGTATTGCGATACAATACGATAGATACTATACAGTAGAGTACAATCAATCCTTCGTGCTTCGTTCCAAAAGGGGGCAATAAACCCAAAGATCAGGATCCTCCCCCTCCCCCAATTGAAGTTTTCATGTTGTCATTCTTCACCCCGCAGCATATATGTACCGTAGTACACACGTGATGCTTTGAACTCACAGAATGAGTTCATTCATGAGATGTTCTCTGTCGAACCTACTATTTCTACTCCTCTTTGGAATTTGCAGTATTGAAAACACTCATTCCTGGAAACAGTCGCTACCGCAGCTCGTTGCGGCATGGGGAGCTAAGCATAGCAACGGAAGCAGCTATGCTATGCCGACAAGGAAATTTTGTAGCAAACATGTAATGAGATCGTGCAGGGGGGGCTATGGTGATAATGGTAGCAATAATAGCGAAAATAGAATAGGGGAGAACGAAATACTGAGTACTCCAGTAACTCCGTTCATAGACAAACCATCCCCTGCTGCTACGAAGGAAATTGCGCTGATCCTAATGGACTCATTTGCATTTTACCACGGGCGGTTCTTGGCGCACAGGGCAAAGGTACTCTATGGTATCACAATCGTACCAGTATTTTCCAACTACATGAAAGGGTTTTTTCAAATGCAACAACCGCCGGACATGGATCATCTGATGTCAATGTGTATGCCCTCTGAAGAGGAGAAGGAAGCATGGTTGAAACCATTGGAGGGTTTCGAATTATTAGCCGTTCTATGTGAATCGGATTCTGGATTAGCGGATGCAGAAAGACTAGAATCTTTGCTCAACACAACCTTTCAGAATGGTTTCAATGAGGCTCGGCGGAACAAGTACATGATGATAGAAAAGATTCGAGAAGCGGGCATTCCCGTTGTGAAGCAGAAACTTTGCTGTAGTGTGGAAGAAGCACAAGAGGCAGCTCGGGAGCTGGGAATAGAAGAATACAAAAAGGGAAAGTCAACGCCACTAGAGCAATTGACTTCTACTTTCGTAGTGGTCAAACCCGTACGTGGGGTCGGATCGGAAGATGTCAGTTTGTGCCAAAGTATAGCTTCGGTGGAGAAAGCGTTTCATCAAATCTATGGGGGCACTGTATTTGGCTCTCCTCGCGAAAAGCACCAATCAGCTCTAGTGCAAGAGTTCGCAGAGGGTCAAGAATTTGCTATTGATGTCGTTTCAAAGAATGGAGAGCACAAAGTTGCGGCGGTGTGGAAATACGACAAGAGACCGGCGAATGGGGCCTCCTTCGTTTATTTTGCGACTGAACTTTACAATGGACCCGAGGTGGCTGAAATCAGTGATTACCTCCGACGGTGTCTGGATGCGCTACAAATTTCTTGGGGTATTACCCATTCTGAGATTATCATGACAGCTCGTGGCCCGCGACTTGTGGAAGTCAACTGTCGCCAACACAACATGGACTTCCTACCGCTTACCATGGAATGTATCGGCTACAACGTGTTTGACATGCTGCTGACAGCTTATCTTGGAGACAAAGATCCCGATATCTTTCCCCTGGGACCTGCAGCCGAACGCCTAGATTGGGAGTTACTTCCTCTAAATCCTTCCGTAAGGATGTGTGGTGCAATGATTCACCTTGCCTGCTTTGCGAATGGAACTCTGACTCACGTAAACGAAGATGCACTAAAGGAAATTCAGAATATGGACAGTGTAGTCGACTTGGAAGTGTACCCAGCGTTCCTTCATGTTGGCAATGAAATACAGCCCACGACTGACATTAAGACCGATGCAGGTAAGAGATCCTGGATGCAATATTCAGCGTACCAGTACGACACTCGACGAAACAAATAACTCATGCTCTGTTGCACTACCTTCTTGTGTGGTGTAGGGTGGGCTCAATTAATACACCCAGATCCCGATCAATTCCAGAAAGACTACGACCGTATCATTGAGCTTATGCCGTGCATCTTTGAAGCTAAAACATGATGAATTAGTGAATTTTCATATTATCTGATCGTCATGAGCTTTGACTTCTGAAATGCTGCTTGTTCCTTTTCATAAAATAATAAGTAAAACTGGGTTCAATGGAGTAATAAAATTGATTTATCGTTCACTGAAGTTTCAAAAATGCGTCCTCTTGAGCTGTTCAACAAGCAGAATTTCAGAATTCAAAGTTCATGACGATCAGATATGAAAATTCAAAACTACAGAGGTTGGCATTATAGTGAGGAAATGTGGGTTCAATAGAGTAATAAAATTGATTTATCGTTTACAAAAGTTTCAAAAATGCGTCCTCTTGAGCTGTTCAACAACAGCTGCAAAAGAAAAAGTAGTATCACAAGATGCAGACTACTTTGCAATCGACCATTGATTGGAATTGCCTGATCTGCGATAGATCAGTGTCTGGTTAACATGTGGACCAAAAATGTCATTGCAATTCTTATCTCGAAGGTACTTGAGTGATGAGCGAATGCAAGAACAAAAGTCTGGCTCCTCAACGTGAGGAGAAGTGGAGGTGTATTGAAGGAGGACTCTGTCTGGGAGCTTCAAAAGTTTATCAATGTGTCCAAAGGATTTGAAAGTGAATGGAAGAATTTTTACTGTATCGGATCTGGAAGAATGAATGACACTCAAACATTTCGCTTCTGATTCTGCAAACAACCGCACAGAGCGAAGTGTGACCTGAGGCCCCGCAGCTTCCTCTTCAACCTTTGCCAAGAAGACATCTCCAGATCGTGTGTCAATGCCGAGGCCTCTACCAATCGGACACTCGAAGCCGTTATCATTCAGGGAGGTAATGGCGCATGTCTTGAGAGTAATCTTCATAATATGGCTCTGCTCTTGAGCAATGCGTGCTAATAGTGCCATGAACCAGGCAGAAATCTCCAGAGATGTGGAATCAGCATCATCAAAACCTCCCATGACGTGTACATCCAGATTGATCATGCTTGAAGAGGGAGATAGCTCTGACTTTTTCTCTTCTTTCGAGCTTTCTTGGTGGTGTGCAATGTGTTCATCCACCATTCCTCGAATGCAATTTTCATATGCTGTTCCATCAATGTGCGTCAGGCTTGACAAGGCATCGATTCCCTCGGTCTCGCTTCGGAAAGCAACAATGTGACAGGTGGTTGCTTTGTCGCTTACTAGAACATCGGATTGTGCGCTGGTGCAATGAGCAGCTTCGCCCTGAGAAACGTACAAGACCTTCTCAGTGGAATTCTTGCTGAAAGAAACGGGCGGACTTGCAAGAAGCTCATCCCTAGAATCCATCAATTGCGGAACGCCCTTTAAGTAATGATCTACGCGACTATTCAGTGGAAGGTAAAGCTGTTGCTCTTCTTCTTCATCCCAATAGCAATATTCATCAACAGGAAGGCGAATGTGCGTCTCAACATACTCTTCTTCTGGGCTTGATTGTCTGTTGTTGAATTCTGCACTCTTAGGGTCTACATCTAGGCTCACAAGTGTATTGCAGGAGTCGTTATTGAAGATCACCATTTTGTTGTCTGAAGATGCTTTTAAACCCTTCCAAGCTGGAGAAATGAGTTTGGGATTGGGCAAGATTTCGTGAATAGGTGCGGAAGTTCGTCGGAGTTGTGGCTCAAAAAAACAGAAAGAACTTTTAGTGACGGAAGTTGGTCGACACGTCAGCTAAGTTCCGGGAGTTGTCATCGTCTGATCGAATCTACAGTGCTGGTACGTACTGTACCAGTACAGTACTGTAGCATGTCCAGAAAAGAAAGAGACAGCTGCTGTTTATGTGCTTCGCTGGCAACTCCTATCTCAAGACACAAATAGTCCCTTTTAGTGACTCGTACGGTTGACAGACAAGAGATCCTTATTTTCTGTTTGATGCAGGTTATGGTACCGGTAGATTATCATAATGAAACACAGTAATTCAATTCCAATACAGTCAACTGGAACTGTACAGGACGGCAGTAGCATTTGAAGCAGTCGTGCTGCAGCAGGTTATAAAGACCGAAACTTTCCATCTACGACGTAGACCGATCAATATCATGCTTCGTTCAGTGAGAGTGTTGCAGCCCTTTCAAGGGCAAATTATGACAGCATGGAACTCCCAAGCCGCTACATTGAACAGCCGCTTGGTAGCAAGGGCAGTCAATAGATATGATCGCCAGGAGACCATTTCAATTCTAAGATACCAAAGCAGCTTGCTCTCCAAGACTCGCAACTCAGTGTTAAACCCACATAGTCCCCTTGGTGTTTCATCATCATTGGTTCATCCACAACGATTCCGTGGGCCTTCTTCGCCCATCAATCTCCACGTCGGTTCATTGTCCTACTTTTCGAACTGGGGTGGTGGCCCTCCCCGTCCTGGTGGTAACAGATGGATGCAAGGAGCTGGCTTCCTTGGTGCTGGTGCCATGCTCCTCGGGAAGACCAAGTACCTTATTGGAGTCTTGAAGCTTACAAAGCTTGCTTCCCTTGGTTCGATGATCTTCACCATTGGCACCTATAGTATGTTCTTTGGACTACCATATGCTGCTGGAATGGTGGGATTGATTACCGTTCATGAGGTTGGACATGTGCTGGTAATGCATCAAAGAGGAATTCCCTTCTCTCCCATGGTGTTTATGCCCTTTATGGGTGCGATGGTTCAAATGAATCAGCGGCCAAGAAATGCTTGGGAAGACGCTCTCGTCGCATTTGGAGGTCCTGTGGCTGGTTCGTTGGCAGCTGGTGGAGTTGCTGTGTCCGCACACCTGACGAATTCACCATTGCTGTTTGCCCTTGCCGACTTTGGATTCATGGTCAACCTCTTCAATCTCATTCCTCTAGGTTCCATGGACGGTGGAAGAATTGCTGGTGCTCTCTCACCCTGGGCTCATGTCGCTGGTTTGGGAATTGGTGGAACGTTGGCCGTAAGTGGAATGATACACAATCCAATCTTCTACTTGATTTTGTTGTCGGGAGGCTGGGAGACCTATCAAAGGTTCTACAACAAAGGAGCAATTCCCCCTGGCTATTATGCAATTACTCCAGTGCAACGAGCGGCAATTGGACTTGGATACATAGGCTTGGCTGGTGGATTAGCCCTTGCAATGGATGTCAACGAAAGATTCAAGAAACCACCTGAGGTGCTCATGCGCGAAAGGGAATTGGAAAAACACTGGGATATGCGTTGAATACAGTAGACTCCTAATAGACTACTAGAATGTATGGTACTACTACTAAGACTACAAGACTTTGCTTGCGAAGACAAATTTCCTATATAGCTCCGCATTGTCGACTTTCTACACCCAAGGCATCCACCCAACGTAAATTTGGACCAAGTTCTCTGGAGCAGTTGCCTCCGTAATCATCTTGTTCACCTGACCTTCTACTGACAGTGGAACCAAGTGGGTGAGCTCGTCGTCTTGATCAGTCGTTAGTCCATCAGTGCGCCTATACTTCTTTAGATTCGGGTTGCGAAGGTTGTAGATCCCTCGCAATCGCTCATCAATGACCTTTATCGACCTCTTTGCTTGATCTGTTGAAGAATTGCCTTTTTGTTGGCTACGGTACCGCTTCCAGTCGATTACTGGATCTTTGAGAAATGGTTCAAGCACAGAAAGCAGCAAGTCACGATTGTCACGGAGTGTTCGCATTGCTATTTGCAAACCGGCGCTGTAGATACCTTCCGCACCTGTCGGCCCAAATGCATCTACCATATTGGCTGTTAGACGGAATGGAATCACCTCTGGCTTTGGCAGGTTGAGTCCCTTGTCAAAGATACTGCAATGAAAAGGGTTTAGAAACGCCGTCGATGCTGCGCAGCCAGCAACCGGTTCCACTTACCAATCAAAGTCAACGTGGACGCATTCCCCAGTAGTGGTATCTACCAAAATATTTTCTGAATGCCGATCTCCGAGGCCAATGACATGACCAACCGCAGACCATACAGCAGCACTGAGAGTGAAGCGATTCCTCGCTTCATACCAACTGTTTGGATCGTGAAATTTCTGCACAAACCACCAATAAAGTAGTGGTGGATATTGCTTCAAACAAAGTTCTTGGAACAATTGTGTTGCTCTCAACAGGTTTCCATCCTTGAAGTACGTAGCCTGACAGCGGTCATAGTTAGAACGCAGAGCAGCATCTCCAAAGTTGGCAAGGCGCACACCTCGTCGGCAACGGCAGAATGGCGATGTCTGGGGGTTATAAGCTTGCTGAACCAAATTTCGAAGAGAGTCCGTTTCTGGCACCCACTCAAGAATTCCTGTATCTTCAGATAGGCAGGTCACAGTGAAAGTCCGTAGGTGAAGTCTTCGTCGTCGTGTAGACTTGGAGCCATCACTTGAGGATGCCATCAACCTGTTGATAACGTTATTGAAATCTTGAACACGAGCGTCCTTTCGCAAGTCACCCTTTGCTTCTTTCTTTATGAGGAAGTGGATTTCTCCAACATCACATGACAATGGGTTGGACGACGAAACCTTGTAAGGTTCTTTAGTTCGCTTTGTTTGCTGGAAGCTCCCTGGTACTGCAAACGCTTTGATTCTCTTTGGTTTTGCCTTTGATGACATCACAGCGACGCGTGATGAGAATGCACGCATTCGAGGAATGTTGCGTGGGAAGAAATCCTTGGGGCTACTGCTGTTCGACATGGGAGAGATAGATAGTGCTGCTTGCACTGGCGCAACAAATTCGCAGAGATCAACACTTCCCTTCCACGGTTTGACGTTAAGAGAATCTCCATTAGTTGACGTTAAGCTTTTGAACGGACGAAGCAGCGGTGAGACAAGCTGAAAGCGTTACCTCAATAAATACATGGCGCTGTTTCTTACGTGGCCAAATCTTTAAGATATTTGAACAGACTTGTCGATTCAAGCAGCATCTGTTGCATCCTTTTGTGATTTTTGCCTAGATTTTTCTGCGCCTCCTTGAACAGGCTTTCTCCTTTCTCTTGTCGCTCTATCTTTTTCGATCCCTTTAGGCAAGCTAGCGGCCACATTGCCTGTTGCGGAAACTTCACAAGCACTCGCTTTAGGATTCCATAAACAACACTGGAAGTATCCCTATCTCTGTGTGTTACTCGCGATACAAGCTGTGGTATAGCGGTATAGAAAGCAGAAGGAGGGATTTCCTTCAAATTATTCGCCATATATTTGTTTGCTTCATTTTTGTTCCTACTCAATAGCTCTGTACAGAGTGGATAGACGTGGGTGTGAGTGTGAGTGTGAGTATAAGAAAATACAACTGCCTTTTGGACTCACTGTCGTGTCCTGAAGAATTGAAATCCTCCGGGACTATCTGGTTGGAAGGGTCTATTGAAGCAAAGTCGAACCATAGGGAAAGGAGTCGTGGTAGAGCTTGATAAACGTGTTTGGAGTCTAGTCTCAAGGCAATAGCGTAGTGCTTCATTGCATTCAAGATATACTCTTGGCAAACTGAGTCACGGTATATTACGCTCGTCCGAACCAAATCTTCATCCACTCCATGTAAAACTTTCTCGTCAAAATACTCGCTGGCCAAAGCGACCACCCGTGACTGCATCATTGAATCAATGTATTTCCCAAAGTGAAAGTGACCTAGGCAAACGAAATATCGATTAAAGTCTCAAATCAACACGCAGTCCAGAAAGCATTGGAAAGACCTCAACATGAGCTCACCTTTTTCCCATTTTGGTGCAAGTCTGTGGATAATGCGATATCGTCGCGTAATTTCAGATCCTCCACGTAAACCCCCTTCAACAGTCCATTGAGTGAGACGTAGCAGTCTCCTTGCAAAGCGGTCAGTAAGCGTATCATCAGTTTCATGCACTTGCCCTTTTAATGCTGCAATCACTGAGAGACGCTGCCTTTCGTATTTCACTGCGATCTTCTTGAGACTGTCTGGGTTTTCAGAATCGTAGAGCATCTTGTCCAGTGTGATCTGCATGGACTCGTGACCGAGAATCTTGAACGCAAGTGCGCTTTCACCTGTCGCGTGCTTCAATTTTGCAACTTGGATGCTCGTGGCGTCGACAATGCTTCCGAGCCTAGAGGTCTTAGCAATCTCCCCACTTCGTATTTTGGCAAAAGCTGCCTGAGCTTGGGAGAAGAAGTTCTCAGCGATCGAGTGTAGCTGTCTTTTCCGTGCCCGCTTTCCGATGTTTAGAAACAGTGATGCTTCCAATTCAGGTTCGTCCGATAGCCGAGCAATTGCCACCCTTGAGTTGATCACTTTCGAAGCCCCTTGCGCAGTAGTAGCATTCAGCCGCTCTGCCCACGCCCACCCTTCCGGTAGTGTTGAATGCGCGACTTCGCTCAATGTGAATGAGTCTTGAGTTTCTCTACAGCACAACATGTGGGAAGCATCTTCTATCTCTCGAATACACTGCAGACGGACCATGTATGTGTAGCTCCTAGAATAGCTTTCCCTCGCCATACTTGACAGACCCTCCATAACGTCAAGGCGCGAGGATTCTAAGGCTATTCTGGCCATTTCTTCGTCTTTCTCGTAGAGTCCTACCATCGCTTTGCCAATGGAGAAGTCATGTACATCTGCTTTGCAAGATGCTTTGTCGTTTTCTGTAATCAAATCAGAGAGTGTTTCCCACCTGCCAAGACGCCAGGCAGCTTCGACAGCAAATGAAGCAACGGGAGTCTTTTGCAAATGTTGCATGCTAGTTAGACCCGCAACCTGGTTCAGTACACTTTCAAATTGCCCTAGTTCGAGCTGGCATTGCAGAATCCCTCTCCGTAAGCCAAGGTCTTTTGTTTTTGTGTGCTCTAGTTGCATAGCACGTTCATAGTCCTGCAACGCACCTTCAAAATCACCAGAAGCTTCCTTTTGCCGAATGCTATCTCGAGCTTGAAGCGATGGGCTTGCAGTGAATGTATCTCCGCCAAGTGCAAGCATTGTCTCGCAATCGTCCAAACGTGCTAAAATTTCTTTCATCAACGCAGCGTCATTGGCACTGGCAACAAGCGCTTCTCCAGACTGAAACGATTCAATCGTGACGGTCGTGTTCTTGGCCCCCTTTCCTTTAACGCCATTTAATTCGAAAATCTCTTCGACCTTATTTAGTCGACCAGCCATTTCAAGCAGCCGAAGGGCTCGAGCATGCATATCAACCCGAGCGGCGCCTTCTGCCTGAACAGAGAGTGGGATACTTGATAGGAGATCTTCGATTCGGGATATGGACTTTTCCGCTGGCCAGCTACCACCCTTCTTAGAGTTGTCATTGGTAGGTTTTGATTCGGTCGCTTTGCGCCTTGAATTGTTTGAATTTGACCTTGAAACCTTGAAACGGTCCTCGATTTCACGTTCTTCCCAATAGTTTAGAGTGTCCATCATCACAAAAAGAACGTTTACGGCCCTTTGCCGATCACTGTGATTCATGTCTGTTGTACTCGGAGACTCTAACGAAAAAACGGCCAACATCTCGTTGCGAATGGCTTCCTCTTCTATATCTGATCCGAAGCATATGCGGTCTAGAAGTAACAGCGGTAGGATAAACTCAGCCAATGAAACTCCGGCTTGAGTCCTAATCGCAGTTCTACAACCGTGAAAGAATGCTCTCCATGGGCTGTCTTCGTCGCTAAAGGAGTTTGAGATCATCCATCGGCAGAAATTGGAGAGCCATGCGTAGTATGACTTCGAAGTTTCGAAGAATGGCGGCTCCCTTGTAACGTAACCTTCAGACTGCATCAAAATAAGCGTCAGGCACTGTAAATCGAAAGGGAAAGTTCCAAATGTTCGCAGATGCTCACCTTCTCATGGAACTCAGAAAACCAAAACGGCTCTACAACTTCCAAGACATTGCTTTCAACCAACTTGCTTCTCAACCATTTTGACATGACGCTCGTATTCCTTGCACCTTCTTCGACATCGACATCTTCTGCTTGTCGTGCAGATCGATCTAATAGTACCAGCAGTTGCTGAATTGTAAATGCAATCTTGTGTTGGTCAGATGAAGATGGGGCAGAACGTAAAGCAATAACCAGATGCCTTGTAACAAGTTGCAACTCGTATTTTGCAGCTCGAGATTGCCAAGGCGGTTGATCAAGCCTCCATTGGTACATGCTGTTTGGTGAATCAACAGATTCAGAATCTATTGCCACGCCAATCTTCAAATCACCCATCTTCAGTTCATTTATTGCCCCAACCTCTCCCAAGCACTTCGCAAGTAATATGCGAGTCTTTGTCTCGGTTTCTTGTACACATCTCGACAACAATTTTTCCATCAAGTTCACGATTGTGCCTCGTGATGTCCCTGTTCGAGAACAATTCTTCAGTTAGAAACATTCATACCCGAAGTCTGTTGACACAATGTATACACTTACAGTCTGTTGCGCGTTGATTCTCCTCCTTGAGATTCTTCTCTTTATACCTCACTGTCATATAGTGCTTCGTGGAGTCTGATCCCTCATTTTCGACAATCATATGGAACGCCTCTCTATTTGCACGCAGTATGTCTGTCAAATGCTCAAGAACGACATTTCTCACGCTAATGTTTTCGTTGTCGAGCAGCGCTGCCATTGTATAGAGACGTCTCTGGAGTCCATTAAGTTTGTCCATATTCCCCAGTGAAGTAGTCGATTTGCTTTCCATCGTTGACGAAAAGTCACTAGCTGCACTCGTTCTTCTTGAAGAATCCTCGACTGGTGTAGGGGAAGAAAGCAACGCAAGATTGTCGAAATCAACTTTGTTGCTTCTCAAAGCATCGTGAACTGATTGTAACAAAGGCAGCTGAGGTAGGAAGGGAATCTCTATGAAACATCGAGATAGTGCCTTCCCGATTTCACCGCTTGCAAGAAACTGAAGAAGCTTCACTGCCTCTGTTTGTGCCTCATTCAGAGCCCAATGACCTGAACTACCATTCTTGTCGATCTTCTCACTGACAATTGGGATTAAAGTGACAACAATAGTTGTCAAGTTAGAAGCAATTGTTTCCAAGTTACACCCCGAGACCAGCCGTACGAACTTCGACAAGGACTTCACCGCGAAAAGTCGAAGGCAATTAAAGTGCGAGGCTTCAGAGGCTGACAATCCGGAACCATCGGTACTAGAAATTGTGGCAATTTGGAGTATCTGTGGAAAATACTGAGCTGCCTCTGACGGTTGGAGCATATTCAAGGCTTTATACATGCACCGAATTGCTTGGAGCTGCTCTTTCTTCGTTCGAGCCTTCCATCTATATTGGATCACATTTACCAGAAGATACATGAAATGCGAAGTCACCCACTGAGAAGCAAGGGAAGGATCTTTGTTGTTTGAGGCGTCACTCGACAATGACCGCTTTGTCTCTGAAAGAAGTGCAGTTGCTGCAACTTTGATGGCTTGTAAGACTGATCCAATTATTTCAGTATCGCTTCCCAGTGCCCAAACAAGCTCTTTCAGGATAAGCTGCTCCCTGTTTTGCAAGATTTCCTTCAGTGAGATGCCCGAAAGAACCTTGCTTAAGAGGAAAACCAAACCTCCGCGGTTTGAGTGCATCAGTACAAGCGGCAGAATTTGCTCAATCACTGTCGGCCGAAGGCAAAGACGTTTTGTTCGTCGATCTAATTCATGACTATTGAGGTCGCAAGCGGCCGATTTTCGTTCAAGTGACTCGTTCGAACTTCCAACTAGACCTCTACTGTCAAAGTTTTTCTTTTTTGCTTCCTTCGAACGTTCATCAAGGAACTCTCTAAAGCTAGTCGTCAACCGAAGAAGTTCAACATCCTCTTCAACAACAAATTGGCACATAATTCTTGGGAGCTGCAAGTCAAGCAGAGTGAGGGTGTACTTGTACATCAACTTCCGCCCTTTTGAACGTGAGGTAGCGACACTCGATCGTATAAAGTTTTGTAGCATGGAATACTGAACTTCTTTGCTATGATTCGCACTCAAGATAAGAATATCACAAAATATCGCAGCCAAAAAAGTGGGGCACAAACATTCCTCGAATATCAGTGAAGGGAGCATGTGAATTCTTGAAACACAGACAAACCCTCCAAATGCAAGGCCACGACTTCCAGGAGTGGTTGGAAGATCGGGAAAAATAGGGTCTGTCAACTTCTCAACCAAGGGAGCCGCCCACATCCGAACGAGCCTAATGAATGACTTCTCGAAGAAGTTCACCCCAACTGGATCATCCAACAGCGCATGACCACAAAGCGACTTGAAGATGGTGAGGGCCGTTCGCTGAAACAAGAATTTCTCGGTCGATGCCTGTCGATCGTGCCGGGATGTTTCATCTGATTTGGAAACGGTGAATGACAGTTGTGAATCTGCGACGCTGCGAACATCGAGTAGAAGACTGTCGACGGAACGAAAGAAGCTAGAAACAACTCTATCAGCGGCATCTTTCAATTCGTTCGATCCAAGAATTGCTGCTTTCTCCATACTGATTGGATTGCTGATGTCTTTCAGGGCTTTAGTATCCCTGGAAGTAGCAAATAGCGCAAAGAGGAGGCTATATTTGTCAGACATTATCAACTGATGTAGCTTCATTGACAACTCTCTCCTGACATTTGCGTTGGTGTCTAAAAAGGGTATGGAAAGTAGCCAGAACAAGCATGAGCTGGAATTGCCTACAGGTTCTTGGATTCGAGAACGTTTCGCATTGACTTCTGTGTGTCGCCGGATTTCTTCGCTCGTCAATCCAATACACGCAGCTGCCATGCACTTCCAACGTAACATTCGGATTGATGCATTGGCGTGGTCGTGTGCTACATTCTTCGCAACAGACAGCATAGCACCGCACAGCAGATGACATGAATCGTTCTGAAATGTTCCAGAGTTGAAGGCATAATCTGACCATTCGTTTCCCACAAAAATGTACTCTGCAACGGATGCCGGATGATGAAAGGAAGTGAAGTAGTCATCATCAGTACCTCTGTCGCACATTACTTTCAGACGTGTTAGTGTCAGAAGAACAACTTCGACGGCAGTTTCTTCTTTCGAGTCAATTGTTCTTCCAATTGGTTCAAAACTACTTTTCAGCAATTTAGACATCAGACGACTGAAAGTCTCTCGACAGTCCTGTGCAGTACCAGCCCGACTTCGCGACATAAGATACAGCGGAGAATAGAAAATTGTCCACAAGAATCCTCTAGTCGCTGAGGGCGAAGATAGCAAGGAGAAGTTCCGCCCAATAATGGCCTCAAACAAATCTCTCTCTTCTTGGTCTGTGTTCTTCGAAGGCATGTTTGTGAATGCGAGCAAACAAGACCTTTATGATATAATAGATGATTAGAATCGAAACCATTTCAGCGCCCTGCATGTCATGGCTTACCTTGATTGCAGAGGTAGCAAGTCAAACAAAATGATGCACCGGTCAACGTCTATTGGATAGAAATTTCTTTCCCAGTGGGTCAAAAGCAACGAAGACGTCGCGTTTAAAATGAGGGTGGACAAAACGCCGGCTTGCATTTTGTGACTATCAGCACTTTCAGTAGTCTGGAGTGATTGCAGACCAAGGATCCCAGAGGGAGAGAAGTCTCTGTACGAAGTTGGTATATTCTCCAATGTCAAGAGACCACCGGCCTCCGCTGATAGATCAGCCAGTGCAAGTCTTGATGTTACATGTGTGAAATCCTCGATTACCTTCTTTAGACCATCTATTTGGCCTTTGGTCAAAAAGCTGTAGATGCCTTGGGTTACATATAGCAAGTACAAGCCAGTCGACGCAACAGCTTGAGCGATGACGAGGTGTGATGGCGACCAAGTCTTCACATCGCTTTTCATCAGCTCATCGCTGCACCCTTTCAAATATTTCAGCAGTAGATGAATAACATCGAAGCAGCGCAGGAATGAGGCGTTGCTGATTCGTGACGATTGTTCCCAGACTTGACCAAGCATCAATCGAATACTTGCAATCAGCAATGCGACATCATGGTCCTTTATATCATCACGTTTGGATTCCTGCTTGAACCAACTTTCTAATCTCCTGCCTGCAAATAATGCCGTTTCCAATAATCGTCTGAGCTCGGAGCCCAGTTGGCAAGGATACGTGTTCAACCACGGGGAATACTGTTGCATTTGTGAGACCGAGATACGACGGCCCGGAGAACGCAATGAGGGAGACATATCCAGCGCCTGTAAAGGGATAGCAGTTTCCTTCCGTTGAGAATCACGTTTCCGTTTGGAGCCAGCGATCGGATCTCGGTCAGCTTTGGCCCTTCGATCGGTGGTAGAAGTGAACATTGCCAACTCTCGTGTCCCTTCCACGAAACTGCTTTCGTCCATTATGCGACCAAACACCCCACTCGCATACAAAGCAAGATTCAGATCTCCTAGGCAATTTACCAGATGTGGAATAACCCCATTGGCCAAGCACAAGCTAGCAGCCGTTTCGAGAATCTCAGCTGCCGATGGTGCGTGGAGCACAATATGAATCAATTGAAAGATTCCAGAGTCCAGCGTCGAACGTTCCTGGACCCGCCTCTTGGCAATTGATTTGATACATTCCAAGAGTGGAAGCAGTGTATGCCTACAAACCAATGCTATTGTGTCACTAGAACAGTTTGCCCCACTCACTCTTGGCGGCCGAGTCAGCACCTGTACTAGTAGCTGGAACAGCATGCTTTCGTAATCCGTCGATGTCGAACGTGTCGATGACAAGTATTCGTTAGTTGCCCGTACAGCCAAGACCGAAGCCTCTATAAGAGTAGTAGATACCACAGAATCAAGCCCCCAATCATCAAACAGTTGCCTCAGGACGCCAAGTGCGGTAAATTGGCGCAAGAAGACCAGGTGCTTTTTGCGTACAACCGATGGCGGGGTCGATAGTAGCATGTGGCGTACAATTGCAAGAATGTAGGCTATCGACGGTTTGTCCATGAGGTTTGGTGAAAATATCATATCAATGTTTCCGAATGGAAGAATCGATTGATCTCCGTCCAAACTAGAGTTCATATTCGTAAAGGACGCAACGACTTTGGCCTTGATTACTGTCAGGTATTCCTGTAGAATCTTCATGGCCACTGTTTGTAGGAGCCAAGCCTCTTCGATACTGGTTAACTTGAGCTCACATGCCATGGACTTTCCCCCGGACGCTTTGGCGGTTTCTTCCCACACCAAAATGGTTGATGGCAATATGTTCCCCGTTATCACCACCGTCGAGTCCTTGAGCAAGGAAACCAAATCTTTCACGATCCACTTCCTTAGCGTATCATCAGCCAAGAAGCTGAGCAGCTGGGCTATCGTATCCGCAATTGAAATTGCTACTTGCGGACGATCCTTGCTTGATGACCCGCTCGCATTCGTGACCACCGAGGGGCAAATGGAATGATGTAGGAGCAAGTGAATCCGAAGAAAGACTATCGATAAAGCAGACAACAAAAGCACATGTGAGCTGCAATGTACGTCCGTACCCACAGTCAGGGAAACGCCAAAGCAGATCAATTACAACAGCACTTACTATCCTTTGGAACCCTTCCCCATTGAAATAGCCCTGGAGAATGAGGACAGTACACCCCCCTAAGGACTCGCTCGTAAAAATTACACAAATGCGCCAAATCGGAAGCATCGCAATTGACCGCCTGCTGGGGAGGAAAGCACTTTTCAAGTTTGGGCAGCAATGCTCGGACACTTGCCAAATCCTTGCGACATCGTTCTGGCAACTTCGCTTCTTCTTCGTCTGGTCGAACAAAGCTTTTCGTGGTCTTATGATACTCTGCATGCTTATTGAAAGCATCTGCTAGTTTGGTGAATACTTCTGATATCCTCTTGCGGGAAGACGAACGGGAAAATATCCCTTGCTGTCGGAGGGAGGAATCGTTGTCCGTTTGATTGCCGCTGTTTGGGAGCCTTCTCTTTGGCATTTTGGTTTCTTGACTTTGTCAGATTATAAATCAGAAAATTACAGCCATAGAATAGGAGGCTGTTGGCATGTCTTTCCAGGTGTTCTTCGACAAACGAAATGGTCAATCAGGTAAATGACATCAAAACTTCATCTGGAGCATGAGAGATTAACCTCCAGAGTCATACACATGAATCGAGAGAGTCGATCCGTTTCGTGTCTCAAATGCGTACTCGAAGGATCTTTTATTCGATACGCCAAATAAAGGTGACTGTGCTATTGAATATGAGATCGACCATGCTGTCGTGCACGTGTACGATTGCTAGAGTCCGTAAGTAGTAAGGACAAATCGGCCTCCAGGGAAGCACGTCGATCTGACGATGG